AAGGCGAAGAACACCAAAATCTTTAACCTATAGCTCTGATACGTAGGCGTGAATGCCCTCTGTAATATTGGTGCATGAAGCAAGAATAATTTTTGCGTTATATGATCTCATTTGAACTGTAAAGATAAATTGATAGAGAGAGATACAGAGAGAATGAATTATGTATTGATTGATATTATTGATGTATTGTATGTACATTATATAGGAGATGTGAAGTGGAGGTGGAGTGGTGGAGTAGGTGAAATGGAGTATGTAGTGGAGTAGGTGAAGTGGAGGTGGAGTGGTGTAGGTGAAGTGGAGGTGGTAGGTGGAGAGTAGGTATGTTTACAATTTACATTAACAATACTAAGTAAACCCACTACTACTTCTTCTTCTTCTTCTTACTCAATTAATTTTATCTAGATCTGCAGTTGTTAGTTCATGAATCTGGGTATTTGTCTTGATTTCAAATTTGTTAACATAATTGTTTACAAATAGATTTGCAATTGAATTTGTAAAGTCTAGTTTCAAAAATTAACAATTTTGTTCAAGTTGGAGTTTAAAATTAACAATTTTGGAACATTTCACGTAGAAAATTAACAAAAATATTAGATTTTCTTTCTTTTGTTAATGCTAAGATTCTTTCTCTAGGAAGAAATTCTTTAGGAAGAAATTCCTAGAATTTCTCTAGAGAGAAATTTTTTAAAAAGTCTAAAATTTTTTAAAAAGTCTAGAATTTTTCTGGAGAGTGAAAAGTTCAGAGAAATTGGAGAGAATTTCTCTGAAAAGAATTTCTCTAAAGAGAGTTTCTCTGGTTTGAATTTAAGAAGATAATGAAGGCTTGAATTAGAAATTTCTCTGAAGAGTGTGAAGTCTAGAGAAACTCCAAAGCTTCAACATTAAACAGGGCATATGGTGTCACGCCCCAAATTCCTCACATTTTAAAAATTATAAATATTCTCTTGTCAAAAAATTTCATGTAAACATCTAACATAAAAAAATAAAATTACTCAAATTTTAATACCTACATAAAATTATCATACTATTTTCATTTTTATTCACTTATCACCAAATATATCTCTATATACTATATACCACAATATTCTTCAATCTTCATCGGTGATACACCAAATGTTTGTGAATAATAATGATGGTGGTGTTAATAGAAAAATGAATAGAGTGGTGTGAAGATTAGATAAAGTGATGTTACTAATAGAGAGAAAATGATGAATAAAATAGGTGAAATAAGAAAAAGAAAATAAAGTGTTTAATGTTATAAAGATTAATATTTGTGTTTTTAAAGGGGAAAAAAAAAAAAGTTACTTACGTCATATATTTGTGAGTTTGACGTAATAATTGATTAGTAAGACTATTTATTATATGATTGAAAATTTTAAGTGATGATTTTTAATAAACTTATTTCTAATTTACCCTATACATATATATATATATTCTATGTGTTAAAAATAATCAAATGGCAAAGAAAGACTTCGCAGTTCCCATGATTGGAAGCTAGTTAAAAGTCGTCTGCTCTGGCGTCAAGAATGAAATAAGCATGAGCATGACCTTGTCTTTTAACTTATTGGTAAATTACATTAAGAAGTTTGTAAAAAATAGAATAAATTTTACGATTTTAATATTATTATATTGATATCATTTTTAGCTTTCATTTAGGATGTGAATTGACTTTTTAGTTTTTTGACTTTTTAGTCATTTTAGCATAGGGCTAAAAAGTCTCGTTTGGGATAAGCTTTTGTGAGAGAAAAAATAAAATGATTATGGTTTATATGTGACATTTTATCTTATTAACTCTTTAGTCTATTTTGTCTTTTTATAATTAAAATAGCCTCAAAATGCTATGCCAAACATAGCCTTAATAAGATTAAATGATTAAAATTAATGTGGATGATATGAAAATACACATATAAATAAGATAAAATATATATATTTTAATGTAGAAGATATGATAACATTTTTCATTCATATGATAACAAATTACTTCATAAAATAAAGTATAAGTAGGTTGAGTGTTATATGAATTAAAATTTTAAAAAAACTTAATATAATTATGTTAAACTTGTAAGATTTAAACTTCGTTTGGATAGATGTAAATTTGAAATGCATGGATCACATGTTAATTGTTCAAGGAGAACAAGAAGTTTAGATTGATAGTTTACCTCTAAATTTCAAGATTAAATTAAATAATTTTATTATTATGAATTTAAAATAACTATATAAAAATAATTATTTGTAATCATGCCAATAATCATCTTCCATCTACCAGGATTCCACTGAATATACAGTATATTTTATCTAAACTTATCTTCTTTATAGTTTTTTCTCCACTTATAATAGCAAATCTAAAATATTTTAACCTCAAATTCCTTAATTCAGAATTCACATCCATCCAAATAAAACCTTATTATATTTTTTCAACTTTTAAAAGAGATCAATGCAATTTATCCATAACTATTAACTATATGCATACAAATAGGCCTACAGCCAACTAGGGAGGCCCAAGAGACCCCAAGCCCATAGCTCAGGCAGCTCTGATTGGAGGAAAAGGCTAACAAAATTATTCTCTTCACATAGAAAACAACCATGGGAGACAAGTCTATATATTTATATACACCCAACAACACCGTGAAGGGTATGCTATATATATATTCTGTCCTAACTCAACATTATTATCTCTCTCAAGCACGGTTCTAACTTGATTGTCAGAAGGCAATTCTAACTTAAGCGTCAAAAGGCCCTTGAAAAGGATACCAAATGGCATACTCTTACGCTGTGTTTGGTTGAAAAATTTAGAAAGATATTTGGAAAGGAAAAGAAAAGAAAAAGAAAAATATGCGTGAAACTCAAGTAAAATGTGAGTATATTTTATTTACATTTTATCTATCTTTTCTCTTTCTCTTCCTAAATCTCCCAACCAAACACAACATTAAGAATTTGTTTACAGGTTCACGCCAAGGGTAACGAGATGGCATTATATTATGCTCAACTCCTTGTAAAAATAATCACAATTTATCAAAGTATAACACAAAATCACAAATCAAGCTATTATACTCGTGATCATATAGAATTATCATCGTTTAAATTGACTGGGAATAGATAAAAAATTGAGAGAGAGAGAGAGAGATGTGACTAGTTTACATTTGCAACAATTGGGAAGTGAATTACTGCCATAGCGCCAACGAAATTACTGCCATCGTCAATACTGTATTCACTTTTGCTGCACATCTTGGCGGTGCTCAGATTTGGGTTTTGCAACTTCAACAAATATGACTCTGCCATCCAGAAACTGAAAGAACGATGTTAGGGTTTGATCATAAACTACTCTGTCATACAATTTGTTTAATAAACCAATTGAGATTTCCAAGCACAATTATTAACATATTCATCATATGAAGCATAAAACCATGATTATCTGCCCCAAATATTGTTTCTTTTTCTTCCATGTCATCTGTAGAATAGACTTCTTTGACTATAATGATATATAGAGCCAAATTTAAGCCATGAGTAAGAATTACGAAAAATACAAGTAACACATTATAAACTTTTCAAAAACTTTGGCATCTAAAATACGCTTATCTCTATTACATTAGTGACCATTACATACCTTCCCGTGCATTCCTTCAATAGCTTTTGTGGATTCTTCCTCTGTTGCATAACGAAGGAAAGCAAAGCCTCTTGGTCTTTTCGCTATTCTATCCATCACCAAGTTGACTGTAAACAAACATGTAGTAATTCTTTCAGAAACCCAAATTATTTTACCAATAAGTGACAACTGCATTAAGCACTACATTGCAACATGCCTTGTACAAGTTCACCAAACTGTTGGAAAGCATTCCTCAAGCTCTCTTCTGTGGTCCGAAATGAGAGCCCTACATGCAATAGCAAGTCAATTGATAAATCATCACACTTTAAATAACAAATGCAAGGCAAGCACCAAGTTTAGGGGAGTTGTATGTCTTGCAAAGAGTACCCTTTTTTATTTTTATTTTTGAGGGAATTCCATTTTTGATGTAGTGGTGATTGACAACAAGTTCACAGACCATTTGATGGCAAAACGGCAATTTTGTTGATTTTCCAAAGCTATTAGATCAGACTCAAAACATCCATATTCGATTGGAAACAACAAATAGGCTATCAATAGAGCTCTTAAAACATACAAATTATCGGAAACTAATCATGACCGAAACTAATTGCAAATCAATGGGAAGAAGTGAAAGTAATTGCAAAAATATAGAGGTACAAGTGATGTATGTGCTCTCACTTCTTCTCATTGATTTGCAATTCCCCCTAAATTTTGAAAAGATTTTCCATTGAAAACTAACAACAACAACAACAATAATAATAATAATCACCATCATCATCATCAGATACAGACGGGAAGAGGTTTAAAAAAGTGAAGCCCATGTTAGATGATTGGGATGACCCTTGTAACTCTTTACGCTTTGTTTGGTTCAACGATTTGGAAATAGAAAAACAAAAAACATGTGAAATGTGAATAAAATATACTTACATTGTATCTAATTTCACACACTTTTTTCTTTTCATTTCCAACCTAAATCCCTCTCCAAATCCATCACCAAACACAGCCTCAACCAAACAATTAGCTGTCAGAACATCTCCAATCCTTGGCATTTTTCCTCATCAATTTCATCAAATGTTTAAAGAGTCATTTTTTCCATCAAATTGAGAACTTTTAAAGCATTGGAAATAGATTTTTTTCCATCAAATCAATATAAGGGGAAAACAGCAAATCAGAGAAATCAATTTCTTTTCTCTTTTTATCCAAATCACTCAATCCAAACGACTGTAATTGATAGTTACATACTTACATGTATCGATATATATATATATATATAGAAAGAGAGAGAGGGGTGCTGACCGCTGACGTAAAGTTTGGTGGAGGAATGGGAAGTGGTTGTGGGGGAAGAAGAAGGTGGGAGAGAAGCCAGAACACAGAACCCATGTGAGATTTGGAGTTGCAGAGGTGGATTTGAAGATAAAGAAGATGAATAGGAGGGAAAGAATTGGGGACGCCTAAAACCCCCAATTTTACCGCCATTCCTAATCCACAACGACCACGGTCCAACGCTACGATGCTGGTGGTGGTGGTGATGGATTTGAACAAGTTTTGAAGCTGCCATTTCCATGGCCAACGACCAAATCAAAGGAGCGACAGAGGAGAGAGATTACACTTCAGAGGTAATAGGCTCAACGATTTCTAAGTTCTACTCTCTGCAGTGTGGATAAATTGTCTTGTCTACGGAACATTTTTTTTTTTTTTTTTTGGGTTAATGATAAATATAATTTTTTAAATAAATTATTAATAAAAATATATTTTGATTAAAAATTTATTAATATTAAATTAATAATTTTTTTTTTTTCAAATATGAAATATTCAATAAATTTTATATATTAAATAATTTAAATTATCAAAACAAAATCTGTAAACAAACCCAATAATGCATTCCAGTTACTGAAGTGGAGAGTCTGTCCGTGGATAAATTGTCCTGTCTACGCGTCATTTTAATTGGGTGTTTTTGCAAAGGGAAAGGAAATGTAAAGAAAATAAGCTACCGTTTGGCGAGTTGGCTTTGCAATGAGATTAAGAGCATCTCCAAGAGGCTTGTTATATCCTATTTTCAACCAAAGTAGCAAGCCAAAGCCAAAAAAGAGACCTCCAGCAGCCTCATCAGATCCTTCTACAATTTGATCCAAGCAACAGTTGCTAGCTACCTGAAGCTAGCAACTGTTCATGTGCTATATATTTTTTTATTCCTTTTTTTCTATGTATTAATGATGATCAAACTATTTACAAATTTATATATTAATATATATATATATATATATATATATGAGTAAAGTTGAAAGAAATAATATTTTAAAGGGGATAGCTAAAGTAAAGAGTATTGCTGGAATGTGTATTGAAAAAAGGATTAGCTAAATTAATAAAGTGAAATTTTGGGTAGTTAATTTGGTGAGGATTGCTGGAGATGCTCTAAAATGGGTAGGCTTCCACTATATTTTATTTCTTCACATTTTTTCCGTATTTTTTTTTATAAAATTTAATTTTAAACATTGATAATAATCATCTATTTGTAAATATTATAATAAAAGTTATTCATATAAAAAATTAATTTTATCAAACAATTATAAATATATGAATAAATAATATTTTATTTTAAAATATAAATATTTTAAATTTACAATCATATTTGTCATTCATTTTATAAATAAAATGCGATTTTTTTTCTTATGTTTGTAAATGTCTGATGAAATTTGTTTTTTGTATGAATGATCTTTATTATGAAACCTACGAGATAGATAGTTCAGATTATCATTACGAGTTTAAAATTAAGCCCCATAAGAAAAGTATAGAGAGGTATGGACTAATAAGTTATAGAATAGAAGGGAACCTATCCCAGATTAAAAAAACACAAAAGAACAAAATAGGCTAAAGAAACCAATAAGATAAAATATTACATTCAAACTATAATCATTTTACTTTTTTTCTCACGAAAAAGTTAACCTTTATTTGGCAACTTGGGGGTTGGGTTGAGTTTGGGGCTATTTTAGCCACAAAAGGATAAAATAAGTTTTTTAATCTAATAAGACAAAATGTCACATCTAACCCATAATCATTACATTCTTTCTCTCATAAAAAGTTAAAAAAATCAAAAAGTCAATCACAAACAAGACTTTTTAGCCCCTAAACTAAAATAATCAAAAAACCATTCCATTTTTCAAACGAACACTTAAAAAGTTTTTCCCAAACGAAACTAATTTAGTTAGGTTATCAAAAGCCAAAAAATTAAGCTAAATTTTTTTTTCCCAAACTAACATAAATCATTTTTTTTATGTTTATGCTATTCTCTTATTTTTATTATGTTTATGCTATTCTCTTATTTTTATTTATCAATCAGTCCTATTAATTAGATTTATTTACTTACAGGTCCTAACTGATAAATTTATCACTGTAAAAACAAGAGATTGATAAATTTATCACTATAAATTAATTCATAAAAATAAAGACTGATAAATTTATCACTATAAATTTATTTATAAAAATAATCAATAAAACTTAATGAGTAATAAGCCTAAAAAATAAGACCTATTGATAATTTTCTCTTATATTTATTTTTGAAAAATAATTATAATGAGAATGGTTAGAACTTCATTGGAATTAATCCGAGAATATAGGCAGTCTCTCCTCTCACATATATCAATTGATTACATGATCGAGTGCATTGGTACATTTATCAATGATTTCGTTGATATCAATTTGGGGTATAATTTTCATGCCATCTTATTTCAATTTTAACTTGAACACATTTTTCTGGCGTGTTTTTGTTGTGAAAAAAAGTATAAGAAGACCTCTGAAAAAACAATCAAGCGACACTGTAATCCACAATACTCGTCATTGCCACGGCCAATATCACCATTGCTGTAACCAAAAGACAGAGAGGTGATGGTGTGAGCTTGTTTGTTAAGATCCAAGTGTGTGGCAAGGATGCTAAAGTAATTTTATTTCTACATATTAATTTCTTACATATTTAATAATAAAAAAATAAATAAATTACAAATACAGCTTTAAAATTTACTTAAATTATAAATTACCCTTTATGGTTTTAAAAATTACATTATGTCCCTTAAAGTTTCTAATTTCATAACAAATAGATTCTTTTATTAATAAATCATCAAATTAATTAACAGTTTTTAATAATATTAAAATTTTATTTCAATTAATAATCCAGATAATTTTATTATTGTATACGTGAACAGTTAGAAATTTCACTTTTTTAATTAATTCTGTTAAATGAAAAATTCTGACAGTAGGTATTTGTAATTTTCTAAACCACAGAAAACAATTCATATTTTAAGCAAACCTTGAAAGAGTATTTATAATTTATCCAATTCTAAAACATTACAATCATCTTTTATCGCTAGCGTCACCTCTTTTATCTACCATTTCCTCTCGTTGCTTCTTTCCCTCTCCGCTTGTGATCACTTTCTGCCAGGAAGAATCACTCAAGATTGATTATAAAAGTCTAGGCCTCGTTTGGGAACCCTCTCTTTTAGCCAAAAAGTCAAAAAGTTACTAAATTAGCCAAAAAGCTAACAACTCATACCAAAAAGTCAAAGATTCTATTTTCTCTCTACTTTTTGCACATTTTTTCGTAAAAAGTCAAAAAGTTATTCCAAACATACTAGTTTTTTTTAACTCATATTTTAATTAAATAGTCAAAAAATTATTAAATTAACCCGTTCCCAAACGAGGCCGATAGAAGGGGATAAACTAAAAGTGACGATGGTAATGACAATAGAGTGTTGAAAGTGAGTAGAAGAATACTGGGTGAATGAAAATAAAATAAAAAATGTGCTCTCTTTAGTCTACTTTTAGAATTTTTTTAAAAAGTTAAAACTAATTTAATAAAAATAATAATAAATCAATAAAACTTCTTTATCTTAATATGGTTTTATCTTTTAGGGGCAAAAAAAATTAAAATTTTAAAGTTACTCTTTTTTATATTTATTTTTGTCAAATTAATTTATGTTTTTCTTAAAAAAATTCAAAAAATTGATTCAAAAATTAAAACCAAACACAGCCTCAGTTTTAAAATTGAAAATGAGAGTAATATTAGAATATAGAGATAGGTGTATTGAGAGGGTCATTAAGTGTGTAATCTGGGAGAAATTAATGTGAAAATAGAATTACCCAGGATGCTAATCAAAACGGAGAAGCTTGAGCAAAACAGCAGTTATGGCAGGCACCAAAGGAGGTGCACTGTGTGTGGTTGCTGGCTGCATCAAGGAGAAGAGGGGAAGAGTGGGGTGTTGGTAACAGCATGCACAAAAGAGATGAAGGATTACAGCTTCAAAAGGCTCTAATCCTTGAACAAGGACAAGATTAGAAAAGGTAACTGCCCCTGCAAACTCAGATCAAACTCACCAACTGATTGGTGTATAATCTCTGAATTTATGAAATTATTCAGAATTCTACAACCAACCAAACCTCTCATGACCATACCATAACACAACCAGAGATGAAGGAATTTCATAACAGATTAATCATAGATGCATAGTAGTCGTGAAACAAAATTTTTAAAAAAATATGAAATTCCCTTTCATAACACAAAATTTATATGGTTATCACACCGACAAAAACAGTACAGCCGCAAAATCAAGTTAAAACAAAACAGAAATTGGTAGGGAAAATATCAATCCTAATAATTTTCCAAGCTGCTTCCACTAAAAAACAAGCTCGTGAGGTTTCATGCCTGCCTTGAGCGAAAACCTTGCAGCCAAATAGGTCTTCAAATCTGGAACTGCCTCAATGGCCTTTATCAAAGGTGCATCCACGGTTTTCTGATCATCTTTTTTCTCCTGTGGGAGAACATTCTTCTCCTACGTTTTGCAAGGCAAAATCAATAAATAAATATTAAATAAGTCCAAAAAAAAAACACAAGCCTTTTTCACAATTTTAGTGAAGGATTATAAGCAAACCTCTTTCTCTGCCTCAAAGAACTCGCCTTCTCCCTTCTTTTTCTTCTTCTCGACTTGCCTTGCAAAATACTTGTCATCAAACTTTTCAACATTGACGCCAGAGATGTCCACCTTGGTTGAAGTAGCAATCAAATAAGATTGATTTACACGTCTAAGAGGAACACCATTAAGCTTGAAAGGTCCTATAGAAGCAATAGGGAAAATGAGACAGTAATTCAAAAGCTACTCAACAATATCTTACCAAACCAAGTTAAAAAAACACGTCTAATGGAAATCAGAGGGCTCCCCTGTGACATCCGAATGTTTTAAATTACAATAAATAGAACTTAAAAAAAAAAAATATATATATATATATATATATATATACAATGACAATAATGGTAACTAAATAAATAATAATAAGTAAAGGCATAATTTAGGGAATTGGAAATTTTATGGTTAAAAGAAAAATAAAATAAAATAAATACGTTGTGAAAAAAACTAATATTTTAGTAAGTAGTAAGTGAGGTTGGGTCGTAAGGTTTTTAGACATGAACCTAACTTATAGTCATGTATAATTTTAGGAGTCATCATGAATTACCAAAGAAGATAATAATGTTTAAAATTAGTAAAGTGGTCAAAATAGTCCTAAGTTCTAAGAGTAGTCAATGGTCAAAGAGATAAAACCAAGTTAATAAATAAATAAGATAAGGGTGGTGGACTGGAGTGATCAACTGGAGTGATCAGCAAGATTGGCGTCAAAATACGAAACCTTTCATATACTTGTCACCCACAATTTTCTTCCTATAAATAGGGAAGAAGGACAGGCTTAAGGCAACGGGAAATAGAGAGTAGAAAAGAGAAAGGAGTGGGTGAAGATCGTGAGTAGTGGAAAGAAGGAATAAAGAAATTAATTTAAGGTAAGTTATATTATACCTTGGGTTACCAAAATATATTTTACTGATGTTTTGACTTACCAAAATTTATTTTATACTAGTTATGTTTTATTAGTATATTAAAAAAAGTTAGGTTTTATAAAGGTTTTAGTTACGTGGATTATTTTCTGGACCCTAATTGCTTAAAAGGAAACCCATGGATATGTTTGTTTATATTTTAAAGAATATTTAATTATGACCTCATAAGCAATTATGTTTTGTAAGTACCCCCACGGGAGTCTCACGCCTTGGGAGACTTAAAATAACCATTGGCTAGTGTTTGACCACTTTGTGGTCCAGTGTTGTCATAGATCCATTGACCTCTGTAATGATTGTTACTTTAGTGATGTACCGTGGTTATAGTGATTATTTCAGTTTCTGGCACTTAATTAATTTGTGTATTCGACTCAACTCAATTTATGTTAATGTTTTAGCTTAAATAAATATCCATGGCCATTTTGTGCCCCTACACTCATAGTATGATATTTCTCACTCTGCTATGTGCTTATAGCTGTTACCCCTTTCATGTGACGAGGTTTTAGCGGGATCAAGATGGAAAATGAATCACTATGTTATTTGTTTTCTATCTTTTATTATTAGACTCTTGTAATACAATGAAGTTTAAATAACTATGTTTTACTTCCTTTTAAATAAACAGCAGGTACCCAGTTATTTATTTTAATTTATTTAATTTATCCGCTTGCGCTGTGACTACAGAATTATACAAATTATTTTATTTTTATCTTGTTACAACGCCGAGCCTTTGGATACCGAGTTTGGGTCGTGACATCCCCTTGGTAGTGCACAATTCCACAATGATATTCTTTACCAAATGAGCTCGTACTACCAACAAAATCGAGCAATGGTAATGCTATCTATCAAGACCGGATTGAGAATTGCAATCCTTCCAACCCATATATTGTGTAAGTCATGAACTAGTAAATTTTACAAGGACCAACCATGGATCTTATGAGAATATGGCAATCAATACAGCCAAGTCATGTCAAACAATATATGGAAATGAGGCGTTGATTAAGAAGTCAAAAACACCAACAATATGCAAGTAATAGATTCCACAATGCAGAAGCCACAGCTTTGGGTTAGTAAACAACTACTTTGGGTACCAACTAAGCTGCAAATTAGAAAACCATATACTTAAGGCAACGTAGCAACTGCAATCATATATATTAATAATAATAATAAATTACAAAAAAAAAAAGGGTAGAAACCCTACAAAGAAAACCATACATACATGAGTGATAACTAAAACTGAACTGGGCCAACGCAACATCCCTACTCTTTGGTCCGTCTACAAAACCATTTGTAATGGAAAAAAGCAGTTTTAAGGCCATGATATGTCACATTATGATGCAACCATCACTGCAACTTTTTTAATTTATAAACAAAATGACTATTGCACATGGGGCAGAGCAAGAATTCTTAAATTGAGTAGCAATGTATCAGAGAAACTTTGAAAATTTCATATGTAGAAGTTTATAAATTCAACAATCAGCATAAAAGCACCAACATTGGACAAAATCTGTCTAAGATATTCAAAAAATAAAAATAAACCAGTACTTAAAATGAGGAATAATTAATCATGTTTCTTATAAAATAAGGTCCAAGTTTAATTTATTAAAACAACCTAATTTTCCTATTCATGTCAAAAGAAGTCTCAATGACAATCACATTGAGTAGAATCAAAGTGGTAACATCTAAACTAACAAAATCATGTAAGCTAAATATCAGCTCACACATAGCAACAGAACCAACAACAAAAAACACATAAAAAGAAGAAAAACTAACCAGTAACAAGAAGCAACCCAGATGTCAATTGCTTCAAAAACACAACTCTCTTCCCCTTAAACCTCCCAGCCAATATAATCAACACCGTCCCGGGAGTAATACTAGCCCTAAACACAAAACCCATGTCAGTAAAAGAGTATGAGATACAAAGAAAGAAAGAGAGAACAATACATATATGGGTGAACCTGAGCTTGGTGGGTTTGGGTTTGCGCTTGTTGAGGAGGGGTTTCTTGACATCGTCGGCGGGGTAGAACTTGGGGGCTTTCTCGGCGGGTTTGGCGGCGGCGGGTTTCTTGTCGTGGCGAGGGAATACGCCGCCGTTCTTGGCCTTGATTGCCCACAGACCTCTCTTGTGGTACATCTGAGATCGCGAGTACTTCCCTACTCCGCGAATCAGATCTGGGTTCCGACTCACCGTCCTCTGCTTCTTCGGCGCCATTGATGAATACCCTTGAATTCTCTCTCTCTCTCTCTCTCTCTCTCTCTCGGAAAATGAATTGTGAATATATATATATACGGCGTGGTGTATAGGAAGGAACAGAAACCCTAGTTTAGGGTTTTTTTGGGCTCGGGTTTGGGTTGGTGAGAGGCCTATATATAATCTCTCAGTTTGTGTCTAGTATTGGGCCTAAATGTTCTTGTGCGTACTGGTCTTTTTTTTTATTATTATGACAAGAGTTTTATTATTTTGATGATTTTTTTTAAGGTTAATATTTTTTATTTTTATAAAATACTTCAAAAAAAAAAAAAAATTATTTTTGAAAAAAAAAATTCTAAAAATATAAGAAATTTGATTTTTGTCTCTTTTAGATTTTTTTTTATTTCAAATTATATATATATATATATATATATATAGGTCAATATAGTTCGGTTTTGAAATAAATCAATATTAAAACCACCATCTATGATTCATAAAATTTAGGTCTCATTTGTTAATTATATATTTTAATTAAAAAGTTAAAAAGTCCCTATAAGCTATCACATCACTCTCTCTACTTTTCTGCACATCTTTTCATAAAAAATATAAAAATTACTAAAATAGCTTATTTCCAAACGAAGCCTTAGAATCAAATTAAACATAATCATAGTTAAAAAAATAAATAATAAAAAAAAACAGAATCATGAAAGCACAATTCGATTCAGTTTGGAACCATAATTTTTGTAAACTTTGTCATCATTCCTAACATAATCATAATTTGTTCAAAGATTAAGCAATATATCATCATCTTACAAATAAAATTGTTTAAAACTATTTAAAAGCTCATTTGGGAAGTTAGGGTTTAGAATTTTTTAACTAAAATAGTCACAAAAAAAAAATTAGCTCAATAAAATAAAATATCGCATCTAAACAAAAAATCAAAAAAATCCTTCTCAAAAAGTTAACCCACTTTCAAAACAAACCCTAAACTATTAGAACACACTTGTAGGGAATGGTTAACAACTTATGAATATATAGGGAAATTATAATATATACCATTTTTAAAAAGGTGTACCATATGCATCTCTATTTTTTTTTATTTATAACTTTTTTTTTTTGAAATTATGACAGTATTTTAATTATATCTCAAGTTATGTTTGGCTATGGCATTTTTTTTTTAGTTATGACTTAAAAAATTGAAACTCTGTCAATTTTTTTTTTAGTCGTAAAGTGCATATAAGATACTTAAGTATATACCATATAAAACAAATTGTATATTTAAATGATCTAATTCACTTTCAAATGGAAACCATAATTATAAAATCATGGGTTAAATCGTGAAATACGGCTCACTTATTTTAAAAATCAAGATCAAACCATACATTAAGAAAATGACACAATTAACAAAATATAAAAATTATTGATATAATTTGTTTTATATTAAAACAATAAATATAATATAATTTAAAACTACGCCCCGAATCCGGATTAGTCGGCCCGAAGGGTCGGATACCGGATGGCTGGACCAAAAAAAAAGAATATAACATTTATTATATTTATGTACATTACTCTCATTTTCGATTATCAACCAAATACATTACTCTCATTTTCAATTATCAACCAAAATATAATTATTCAACAATAATAAATCTTAATTAAAATAAACAAACAAAGGGTTGGTTTGGCAAGGGCTCATTGGACTTTTTTGACTCAATGAGCTATAAAAGACAGAATAGGCTCATGAGCCACAACAGACAAAACATCTCATTCAATCCCATAATTATTACACTCTTCTCTCACAAAAAAATCAAAAAAACTAAAAAGCTAAAAACCCTTTTCAAATCAAACTTTTGAATCCACGCTCTTATAGTCAAAAAAAGCCAAAAAATCAACTCACTTTCCAAACGGAAGCAATAGTTTTTGTCAACATGCCGCCTAAACCCCGGTCCTTGTCAACACTCACTCTCTCCGGTGACTGTCTCTATCTACCCACTGCGCACGTTATAACCATGCGCCTCCTCCTCCGCCATTGACAACAACAGCAATAAGATCAAGCAAATGAACCAGAGACCCAAATCCAAATCACCCCCCAGCTCTCATCATCATCAACAACAACCCTACTCGAATGTCAAAACCCTAACCCTAGCTTCCAAAATGGCTCGCAAATCCCTCATCAAACCAACCCTAGCCACTGTCTTCCTACTCCTCTCTTGCTACGTCCTTTTCATCACCTTCCTCTCCCCAACCGACCCACTCTTCGATTCCCGAGAAAAACTTTCCAATGACCTCAATTTTCCCGGAAACTCACCCCCCGTCAAGGTCTACATGTACGATTTGCCGAGAAAGTTCACCTACGGGGTCATCGAGAGCTACGCGAAAGCTCGGGGAGGTGGTGATGTGAAGGAATTGAAGTACCCGGGGAATCAACACTCTGCGGAGTGGTACTTGTTCGATGATTTGAATCGAGAGGACCGATCTGGATCGCCTGTGATTAGGGTTTTGGATCCTGAATTGGCTGATTTGTTCTACGTGCCTTTTTTCTCGTCGTTGAGCTTGGTGGCGAACCCGATTCGACCCGGGAGTGTTGGTGTTGTTGGGGATGAAGCTTCGGTTTATAGTGATGAGGAGATGCAGGAGGGTTTGATTGAGTGGTTGGAGGAGCAGGTGTATTGGAAGAGGAAGAATGGTTGGGACCATGTGATTATTTGTCAGGATCCTAATGCTTTGTATAAGGTTGTTGATAAGGTGAAGAATGGGGTGTTGCTTGTTTCGGATTTCGGGCGGTTGGGGCGCGATCAGGCGTCGTTGGTGAAAGATGTGATCTTGCCCTATTCGCATCGGATTAGAACATTTGATGGGGATGTTGGTGTCCAGTCCCGGAAATCGCTGTTGTTCTTTATGGGGAATCGGTATCGAAAAGAGGTAATTTTGTGCATTTCTGTATTTTTTTTAATTTTTTATTTTTGTATTGGGTGTTGATTGGTTTTATATAAACTATTCAATTGCGAAGATTGATTAATCAATGTAGGTATGAAGAGAGAAAGAAACCATTTTGAGAATTGAACTTATCATTCTTGTACCTATGAATGGAAAATTTGTGCTATTGACAATCAAAATTGGCACATGGATATGGGTCTCAGACCTCGAGCAAATTATCATGACAAAGGGTTAATGGGATCAATAGATCAATTTTGTTTTTTCCTTTACTCTTTTGGAGAATATAGCTTCAAATTTGGATATGGTGATGATTGAAACTGTTTGATTTGTTATTTATGGAGCAAAACCTTGGTTGTTGACTTTCATTGTTTTGTCACCTTTTGGTTTAATGATGTTACCTAAGTTCCTGTGGAAGTGCCCGTTTACTGTAATATTATGGAGCTTACAACTCAGTTATCTCCCCACTTTTGGCTATTTTCCTTGTTGTGTCTCCTCCATTCCTCAATTCTTTTTTCTGGTTTAATACCTCTTTAATTTGGCAGATTGTGTGATTTTTTTTTTCCTTGTTCAATTGAGTTGTTGTGCTTCTTATTTTGCCGGGAAAATTGGACTACTATCTAATTTTTATGCAAGTATTTGTATTCTCTTTCTGTATCCGATGTGTTTGTGTATTGTGCAAGCATATATATAAGCTGACAGCGACAATTACTTGGGTTGTAGGGTGGGAAAATTCGTGACTTGCTTTTTCAATTGCTTGAGAAAGAAAAAGATGTCATTATAAAACATGGCGCACAGTCCAGAGAGAGTCGGCGTGAGGCTTCGCAAGGGATGCATACATCAAAGTTCTGTCTACATCCTGCCGGTGATACTCCGTCGGCCTGTCGTCTCTTTGATGCTATCGTTAGCTTGTGTGTTCCAGTTATAATCAGCGACTATATTGAGTTGCCTTTTGAGGACGTCATAGATTATAGAAAAATCGCAGTTTTTGTGGACTCGACCTCAGCTGTAAAGCCGGGGTACTTAATTAAATTGCTTAGGAGAGTAAGCACGGAGAGAATTCTGGAATTCCAGCTGGAGCTGAAAAAGGTATTTTCTATGTGTTCTTACTCTCTGTATTGAATTTTGTTATGCGTTCATAAAATGTTTTACTCACACATGCATACATGTCATATTATGTGATATAGGTGGCACAGAAAATGTCCTTATCCAAATTATATCCAAGTACATATGTTTAACATGAACACATTGCCTGGTGGATGTGAAAAGAAGAATCGTTGAAGATCAAGAGATCACAATTCTAACATGACAACACTGACTGAACCAATGTATATCTCCCTTCCTAGAAATCAATGCCCTTTTTCTAGCATCCAACCTTTTCCCTATTTTCTCAATAATCTGATTCTAAAGATCTACACACCTAGGATTACCCCCAACGGTATCCCCAAGTATTCCAAAGGGAAAGACTTAATTGAATATTCTAATAGAGTAGCCGATATCTGCAATCTCTTCTGTGAAAGGTGCATGTCCACTAAAGTACTTTTATTCATTTTCACTTTAAGCTCATAAACCATCCAAAAAATTATTAGAATTGAAAGCAAACTAATCATCTTATCCTCCTCCCCAGATGACAAAAAGATAGTGCCATATATAAACTGTAAATGATTGACTGAAAATGGTCACTCTTTTGTATCTCTTGACCATCAATTTTACTTTTAACTTCAGCACTATTCCTAGTTTTGCTAGAGTTGCATCCATATATTTGTGGTTAGATCTTCATTTTTTTTAAATTATTTTTTCCCTTTAAAAACCACCTAGGAACGTCAAGTTTAGGTGAACTTGATAACTCTAGTTGTAATAGCAATTATAAATTCTTTCACAAGTCTAAAGTATGTGGTAAAAGCGGCTATAAAGAAAATGGAAGCTGGAAAAGTTATGGTACCCATGCAATTCCCATTGACGTTTGGAAATTTTTAGGTGATGAAGGGACAGTTTGTTTGACTAGTTTGTTTAATAAGATCTTGAATTCTCAGAAAATGCTTGATGGATGCTGGAAAAGTTTGTTAGTTTCAATTTATAAGAACGAATGTTATTCCAAGATGCATGTGGTATTAATCTTTTGAATCGTGCAATAAAACCTTAGGAGATACTGAAGAGTAATTGAGTAGGGATTTTGATATGAGACACCAGTTTCAGAAAATCAAATTTGTCTTATGCTCAGAATATCACTATTGAAGCTCTTTTTCTTTTTACTATTGAAGCTCTTTTTCTTTTCTTTTATTTACTTTGGCAACTAATGAAAATGTACAAGGTAAAGAAAAATGACCTCTATGTGATTTTGTTGATTTAGAAAAAGTATATAATGGAATTCTTAGGGAGATAATGTGGAGAGTTTTGAAAAGAGGAGCATATCAATTAAATATATAGATACATTGATGTTGACATATGAAGCCGATACTACTGTGAGAACGATAGAGTGAGAAGCAAGTAAATTTTCAATAACTATATGTTTACATCAAGAATCAACACAAAGTCCTTACCTATTGAAGATATAATGTGGAAAATTGGTTAAGATGGTTATTCGTATACAATGAAGACCGATGATTCCACTAGTTTGAAAAGTGACACTATCCACTTCAAGCTAATGATAGGAAAGAGGGAGACTAAAATTAACTTGGTTTGATAATAAAGAAAGACATCACAGCTTGTGGTTTAAATGAAGTTGTGGCGCTATATGGAGCAGAATGGCAAAAAAGGGTTCAGGTTCATGTATATCTATTCCCTCTTGCAGTTTTTACAAGGATTTGGTTGAGTTGGTGTTTGGGTTGAGTACTTAATTTGAGGCTTTGTTTCCTTGGAGGGGGGAGATAATGCTAATAATTTGATTCTAATTTATTAAATAACCAATAAAGAATCTTTTACCTTATCCTAAGAGAAATTCCTATAACTGGCAGCAATGGATGGCTTCGCTAATTGAAGTGAAGTTCTCCTTTGATTTGTGATTTATTGTTGGACTTTACATAGCATCTACTTCCCAATGTGCAAGGTAAGTAAGAACATTCTGAAAGGTGTTATCCAATCTGTTTCACTTTCTAAATTGTGTTGTGGACTATATTGTGAAGGAAAATGTTTTGTTGGATCATCGTAATTAACATTTTTCTAAAAAATTGTGTGCTCAAATTTCATTGTGTTGTTCAGGTTAAGCGATACTTCGAGTATGAGGATCCTAATGGAACAGTGAACGAAATCTGGCGTCAAGTGTCTCTAAAACTACCACTTGTCAAACTGATGATCAACCGCGACAAACGTCTAGTGAAGAGGGGCTTGCCCGAACCAGACTGCTCTTGTCTCTGTTCAAACCAGTCAAGGATCCATAACACATTATGACACTGTCTTTATGGAGATTTCATGGTGTTTTTTTTTAATACGTCATCTGCAGAAAGGGTTGATCGGGGCAGCATATATTGTTTATGATGAAGCTGGAGATATTCAATCCAGCCCTGCAATCTACATTTTTTCATTCATTAACTGGAGACCATTGGGGGTGGTATTGCAATCCATGATAGAATAAGGACCTGTTTTATAAAACAAGGTGGTTGTCGATATAGAGTTCCCTTAGCTTTTACCAAAATGTATTTTTAGTACTCGGTGGAACTGATAGGCCAGTTTCTTGTAACCATAGGGCAGTGTAAGAGATCTGAGCTATTTGTTTAATTTTGTTTCGGATAAAATCATTCTCTCTTTCTCCTTTAAGATATCATCAGGCTTGTCAAGGGTTGTTTTAGTGACCAGTTCAATCAATCATCAAACTTGTTATAGTGCCATCATGCTGTTCGACATAACTAGAGGAGGATATACCAAGGGAAAGACAAGTGCATAGTATAGCATAGCTAGTCCATCTGGTGGGATAGGATGTCCTTTTTCCCTACTCCGAGCAAGTTTTTCCAGCCCGGATGAGAAAGTGGAGCGAGGATGTATCTTTTTTGTTCTCCTACCCTGCCCTGTCCCAATTATATATATATATAAACTAAAATATTATTTAATATTCATTTTCATTTGCTTTATTTCTTTTACATTTTTTTTACTCTTATCACTTACAACTCATTATCTAGAATATATCATATCATCTCTCATTTTTATTAGTACCATCATTTCTAAAGTCACAAAATTAATCTTTTCCCTACCCACATCAAATGTAACACAAGGCGAGGCACTACAAACTCCCTGCCCACTCTTTTGCCATCCCTATTTGGTGATGCCGAAAAGAAAAAAGAAAAGAAAAAATGTAGTGCAAATGTCATTGAAACAGATGGAACAGAAGAAGATAGCAGAGGTCAAGCTATATTGCCTTGCCCAGTGGTGGTTGATTGTACCTTCTAGAGTATTTTTGTTTTTATTTTTCTGTGTTTTTATTTTTTGGGGTTTTTTTTTGTTTTTTTGTCTGCAGTTCTTGATTAACCTTTAAATGCGAAACTCTATTACAGTTTCCAAGAGGTAGCAAACTAAAGAAGTCAGATATAAACTATTCCCATACCAAAATTACATCTGACAAATTGGGGGTGGGTATTGACTTCATGCTAGCTTAGAATATATATGAAAAGAGAAGTGCCAGGATTTGGAGTGACAACTCAAAAGGGCCAAAATTGGTTTTCCAAAACAAAAAACCGTCATTGGGTCAATTCACAATGAACTCAACCTGTCCTTCCATCAACAACAACAAAAAACAAAAAAAAAATCCAAGGCATCTGAAGCCGATCTAACCAGGCGGCCATTTCATCTGTCTCCCGCCAAGCAAATGCAGATGGAGATGGTAAACTGATTGACCTGGACAGAGAGAGAGAGAGAGTCAATATGATTTTGCATTGACGAATCAAAAAGCATAAGAAAATCTTGAATCTTCCAACTGCTTGGGATGTTAGTGACATGGGATTTCAACTTCTCCAATTTTTAGGCAACCAAAGCATGAACAAAATGAAATATATATATATATACACATATATATATAAGATTATAACTTACATGCAGCCGGACCACTGTTGATAACAACACGAAATCCATCAAGAATCCCTTCTTTCTCTGCCACTATTTTTGCAGCATAGAGAAGTTCACCCAAAATGTCCCAGTGTCTTGCTTCAGCCTACCAAAGTAACAAGAGGCAACCGCTATTAAAACACCAATCAAGTCAAAGATCATCATCATCATCATCATCTTGGAAGCAGGTCAGAGAATGCAACATCAATAAAGTTCCAGCAGATAGTGTTTCATTAATACAATGAATTTCTCTGTGAATCTGCAGTTTTGTTTATGACTTGGAAAAAAATGCTATTAGCAAAAGAGCAAGAAGACATTATAGGGTGCACCATTGCTTCCACACGGCTAAAAATGCATAAGTCATACAAAAAGGGAACATAGCATGCATTTGATTACAACTATGTTATGAACACAGAAGATTTTCATAGAATAGGACATAGATAATACGTGGGACCCACCTTTTGTCTCAATGTCCCATTCTGTGACAATCCTCTGTGCACTTAGATTTTACTCATTTGATTATCAGCCCAGCTAACATATGGAAGACGAAAAGAGAAAGAAAAATACCTTCCCAAGCTGTGTTAATCCATCCCTGAACTTTGGAATGACCAAAACATGAACAGGAGCTTCTGGGTTGATATCCCGAAAAGCCAAGACCTTGTCATCCTCATAAACTATAGTGGAAGGGATCTCCTTAGCAATGATCTTATCAAAACTAATATAGGAAAAGAGAACGAAAATTAAAAAAATATCCTTAAGCTGATTGCAGATATTAAAAATCTAGATAAAGTCAAATAATGTGTAGCCAACTGAATTTTTAGTTGGAAGATCACAATTTTGACAAAGGTCAGTTTAAATATGAGTTCATCTCTTCACATATTTCAGAAAAATATAAACTGAGAGCAAGCTTTAGGTAGTTTGCAGGAATGAGACACTACGAATATATGCTACATATCAACTGATAGGGGCAAAATTATCTAAGAATTTATTTGAAATTTTCTCGCCCGATAATAACCCTTATTTCATCTTACTATGCACATGTAAGTGGCATTTCAAGCAACAAGTACAAGATGAATTTTTTTTGGGGTTGTCTTGTATTAGCAAGGAAGGAACTTGGGATGTGACTTCAAAGAGTATTATTTTCAAAATAATTTCTAATGCTTGTAATGTTACTAAAAACTTCATTGAAGCTTTTAAAATTTGCAAAACTCAAATCCATTGCATTCCAATTGCAATATCTCAAACTCGATTATGGTGAATGTCATATTAGCATAAGCACTTGAGAAGCATAATTACATGGTTGGAGCTCCAGTATCAGCAGTGGCTGCAGCTTCTCTTGCAGAAGCCTCTTCATCATTCGTTGCACTAATACGAGAGATGGCTCTGTGAAAAACAAAATCAACAGAAATACATAAATAGACACTCATACAATTGTTCTGAAAATGATTAAAATAAGGAAAGTGATCAAATAAAAAAAAAAAACATTTGTGTTCATAATTAATTCTGAGAGAGAGGAGAGAGGGTTAATGATTAAGGCGAAAGAATTACAAAATCCTCTATTGTCCTTCAAAAGAATTAATGTGAACGTCACTTGAACATTTTCCGTCAGCTCACAACCAAAACTATTTGATTCGTGCTATTTGAATTTCATATTGTGTGAATCATATGATTCAATTGTGGTTCAATTGTGTTTTGCATAATGCATAAAACATCATTTTTGCAAAACAAAAAATGAGATTATATACATTTTTTTTTTTTTTTGGCACAAGATAGAGGTTAATATGTTAGTAATTAGATTACACTGCGGACCAACGTCTCTTCGTAGACTCAAACCTGAAACCAAACTCACCTTAGCACCTAAGTGCCCTCTCCATGACCACTTGGGCAATTGCCCGGGGTCAAATGAGATTATATTAAATTCACAATTCAATATTTAAGCAAAACGATTCATTCTAGATTTGACAACAATGGGCATAGAGTAGTGTTACAATATATATATATATATATATATAAAGAGAGAGAACTAAAGTGAATTTAACAGACAAATATACAACCATCATAGATTTAAATGACCTACTCTTAGCTCAGGTTCATGGAAGAGGGTTGCAAAGTGTAATTTGCCCTAAATAGCAGATTGGAATGTACATTTGTATGTATAAATACATTACCGCTATGTTTGGTTGAGGAATTTGGAGAAGAATTTGAAAAGAAAAATGAAAAAGATAGTAAAATGAGAATAAAATATCCCTGCATCTCACCTAGTTTCATACAAATTTTCTCTTTTTTTTTCCAAATTCCTTCCCAATTCTCCCAACCAAGCAAGCATACGGCAATTATGTATATATATATATATATATATGTGTGTGTGTGTGTGTGTATGTACCTGCGAAATTGAATTGGGAGATGAAAAGGGCGATGAGTTTGGGCGAGGAGGGAGTGTCCTCTTACTCTCGATGCTTTGATAGTCCCCAAAGCTCTTGGGTTTGTTTGGTTTGAATTTCCCAAAAATTTTTGGGAAAATTTCTCTACAAATGAGTTTTCAGAAAAACCCAAACCAAACAAATTTTTTCAAAAAAATTTTCCAAAACTTGTAAACCAAACAAGTTTTCCAAACAAATCTCTCTCTCATACACATCAAATCAATCACTTTTTCCAAAACTCTTTCTCAAAATAATTTTCCAAAATATCTTTCCAAAAAAACCAAACCAAACAACTTTTCGTACTTTTTATCTCCCAAACTCATCTCCCAAAATCAAACCAAACAAGCCCCTTACATTTATGGAAGCCCTGTTTTCAAAAACCAAAACCCAATTCCAATTTTCTTCTCTTTTTGTGGCGCTGTGCAGAACCCAATTGAACTCAAGACATATGCATACATACATACATACATACATAGAGAGAGAGCGAGAGAGAGTACCTTAACAGGAAGGAGTTTAAAGCAGCCATTGATGCGAACGGAGAGAGAGAGAGAGAGAGAGAGAGAGAATACTTCAATTCACTGCGATTCCCATTTTCGTGTATCTAATTCTCATACAAGAGAAAGAAAAGAGATGAATATTTTATATAATTTTAAAATTTGTTTTTCATCCTACTTTATTGTTTTGGTAAAGAAAAATGATTGATAAATGTACACCGAAATATGATAATTCACACAGTATCATAAAAGTCAGACGATCTATCAGACCACTGATCGAATGATTGGCGTCAACTTTATTAATTGTAGTTATCATTTTTGTTAATTGTGATTGTTTTTGTTAATTGATGTGTCAATCGACATCCTTTAAAATAGTCAGGGAACATTTGATACGTCTAACGATTTAGATGAGCCCAAAGCCGACGAATGTAGTATTGTTTGTTTGATAAATTATAGGTAATCTCTGATGTGAATGTTTATTACAGTTCTTTCCTTTATTTTTTAGAAATTATATCTCTTTTTTGAGATTTAAAATTTCATTACAGATTGTTTTCTGAAGTTTAAAGTTTCATGATAATTCTCTTCCTTACCGTAATAATCATCATACATAAAATTAAATTAATAGAGAGGTCAGTGTAATTTTTCAAATGTGAGGGGTGAACTGTAATAAACATAAATCTTAGGGGGTGTCAGTGTAATTTACCCTAAATTATAAATACACTTTTGAAATTTAGGACTTGTTTGTCATAATTTTAAAAAGTTAAAAGGTTAAAAAAATTATTATTCTATTTAAGTTACATCACTTCTTTATTACATCACTTCAAACTCAACCCATATCCAACTCATATTTCATAAAAATTCAAAAATACATTATTTAAATTATATCAAACCACCCCGACTTAAATATGATTTGTGTCATGTACTTTTAAAAATTACATCTTACCTCTTGAAATTTTTAATTTTATAACAAATGATCTTTTTATTATTAAATTATTAAATCAATTAATAATTTTTAATAATGTCAAAATTTTATTTCATTTAATAATTTAAATAATTTTAATATTGGATAGGCTAGCAGTTAGAAATTTCAATTTTCACCGACTTAAATATGATTTGTGTCATGTACTTCTAAAAATTACATCTTACCTCCTGAAATTTTTAATTTTATAACAAATGATCTTTTTATTATTAAATTATTAAATCAATTAATAATTTTTAATAATGTCAAAATTTTATTTCATTTAATAATTTAAATAATTTTAATATTGGATAGGCTAGCAGTTAGAAATTTCAATTTTCAGTTAATCTTATTAAATAAAAAAAATATGACAGAAAAATATTTGTAATTTTTCAGACGACAAGAGACAATTCGTTATTCAAACAAGAGTGTTGCTATTAACATCTCATTAATTATTTTGGACCCCTCAATTTTTAGTTTTTTTATTACAATAATAACATCAAATAAAATTACTAAAAATGACTATTAATTTTGGGACTCCATCTCACAATTAAACTCATACACCATTACATCATGAATTAGAATTTATGAGAGCACCTACCTTCATCACCACCTATCCATTTTCTGTAAATCTCATCTTCAAAACTTACCCACCTTCAAAACCTTAAAAATTTTTTGACAATAATATTCCAACAATAATGGTAGCAACCATTTGATTACCTACACTTCTTCGACAATGATAATGCGTGGAAATTTTTTCAGCAACTATAACTACATGAGACGAGAGGAGCATAACAAAAAAAATTCATAAAATGTTCATAACTTTGATGGTGTTCTTACCTCAGAGGAGTTTGGTCTTGTAAAGTTAAGTTTTTTTTAAAAAATGATATATGACCGAAATTCGAAAACAGAGGCCCGAACATTATTTATTTATTCGGGAATCGGTAACCCAACATTAATCATCGAAGAAAAGGATGAGACGGCACAGAGAGAGAACAAAGACAACAGTCACACTTGACTCTTCTTTTTTTTCATCGGTTTTGTTAAGATTTTCGGAAGAGAGGCTTTTTTGGGGGTGTGGAGGGGTGTCCATTCAATTGAATGGGTGAAATATTTTCACAATGATAATTTTGATATTATTTGGGAGAAGAAAAGAAAAGAAATTTTAAGGATTTCAAAATTTATAAGTGGGGGTCCAAAGAAATAAAAGGTCTAAAATAATAGATGAGGTGCTAATAGCACCACTCTTCAAATAAATCTCAAAAAATGTATTTGTAATTTATCAATTTTTTAGTGATTTTTTTAATTCATATTATAGATTTGTTTTACACTTTTTATATGCACTTAATTTAGATTTACCTAAAAAATAAAATATGTTACAAAATCTGGAAGAATAATTACTAAAGATATTAAAATACCAAAATGTGCATAATTTTTTTTTTTTTTTGTCTTAAAAATTTCTCACATATATTTTACTTTTTAATATGAATAATTCTAAATTAGGTGAATTTAAAAAAAAAAATGACCAATATATTAAAGAAAAAATGTTTATTGAAAATTTAAAAAAAAAATCAAAAAACAGTTTTTGGAAATTAAAAAGATTGTGTTTTTTAAAAAGAAAAAAAAAATGGAGTGACTCTTCCATTGTCATGTTTGGATCGATTATATAAAAATAAATAAATAAATAAACTATTACATGTTATAATATCCAAAATAATAATTTATATTATTATTTATTTAGGGGTTGTTTGGGATGTCCTAAATAAGTATACTTTTTTACTTTTTGAACTAAAAAATTGAGAAAAAAAATATGATTGTTTAGGTTAACTTTTTAACTTTTTATGAAAAAATGTGTATTAAAAAATTGTATAAATTAGTGTGTAGAGAAAATTAGGATTGAGAGTGATAACTTTTTAACTTTTTGAGTAACTTTTTGACTTTTTTGGGAGTTGCCAAACTTGGCCTTAATATTTAGATAGACAATTTCAATATTATAAAAAAATTAGTAATCATTCTATATATTTTATCTCACAATTTTTTTTTTTTCATTTTTGAGGAGATTTAAAAAGTGAGTTGTAAGAAAAACCATTTTTTCTATATTTCTCCTTAATTCTTTTTCTTTATTAATTGAAAGGGAGATTTTATGTGAACTAGGGCCGAGCTAGACGCAGACATTGTAATGGACCGATTTGTGGGCCATAGTGAAAAAAGCTTCTCAACTGGACCTTGCTTCTATAAGCTCGGTCCAGAATGGTGGCAATTAGCTCGGTCTATGTATTTTGAACCGAGGTATGGGCTTCGAGTAGCTCGGTCCCATGTTGTATGAAAGCTGGGCAGAGGTACTTTGAACCGAGCTACCTAAACAAGTGGGCTTAGTGGTTAGCCGAGGTATTGATGAGAAAGGATGTTGGGCTTGGTATAGCTCGGCCGAATGCTATCTACGTCATTACTTGAGTGTATAACCAATGTAATATAGCTCGGTTGGGTCGCAGCAGCCTAAACAAAGGAGGTAACCATCTTACTTGGTTGGTGGAAAGCAGAGTGTTATGATAATAGACATTTTTCATTGAGCTTAAGACTTCTAAGAAGGCTCTGCTAAGGAGAGTAGAGTCCTACTAGGATTGTGTTTGGTTAGTAGTGAGTAGAGTGTGTGGTTTCTAAGAGGACTCTTATAAGGAGAGTTGGAATCCTACTAAGATTTTGCCAGACAAAATCTATAAAAACTCATAGCAGGACCTATGTACAGGTATCACAATTTTTACCTTTGAATATATAGAGCTTTTTGTCTATTGTCTACTTGCTGACTTAGGCATCGGAAAGATATTCGGCACACACCCGCCGGCTAGCTTACGTTTGTATTTTCAGGGAGTAAAGCGACGACGTTTGGAGGAAGTATAAACTTAATCAATAAGATTATACGAAAAGATTATTTCGTACTTGTACATTAATCTAAACAAAAAAGTTAAGACAAAGATACATCAATTGCTTTTTGTAATCTCCAAATCATGTGATTTCAATTGCAAATCTTTCACATCCTCTAGTTGAGAAATTTTACTATGCAAACTTTTAAAAATGTGCATATGGTGATTTGAAACAAAATTACAAAAAATAAAAAATAAAATAAAAAATCATAACTTTTAAATATTTATAATACAATCACAATGATTTGTAACTGAAATTTTTTTTATACAGTTAATAGGCGGAAAATAGGAGAACCGGAAGTCGAACTCGTAACTATAAAACTTGAAGCTAGATATTACACCTGATAAGATAACACTTTATTCACCACTCAAATCCTATGGCCTCTATTCTTTTTTACTTTACCTGAATTCACTAGGGGTGAGCATGGTCCGGATTGGGGTAAAACCAGGACTAATCCATTATTTACGGTTTCTAAAAAATTGGAACCAATTCAATCCGTTTAAATCATGGAACCAATCCATTTAAATACGGATTGGATCGGTTTAGAACCACGGATTCACATAATTAAATAACAAAAATATATATATAACACTTGAATTTCATAAAAATATAAATATAGCGCTATATTAGTTCCATAAGAGCAGCATGTTTTTCTATAATAACCACATACTGTTCTAGAATTTAAACAACCATAAGAAAACTGGTTTCACCATAAGTATTTAGACCATTGCAAATTAAAACTTAAAACTAACAAACAAAAGTAATAAAAGAAGATATTATACGGTTTTAGGTTTGAGTTTAGATTTTACATAGAATAAGAAAAAATACTATGGGGGAGGATGTATAATAAAAATATAGACTATTTGTATACGGTCCGGATTGGTTCCAATCCGAAACCGTGGGATTCAATCCGGAACCAATCCGTGAACTACGGATTTTTAATTATTCAATCCGGAACCGAACCGCGGATTCAAAAAACCAATCCAAACCTATCGGATTGGACTGGACTGGATCGAATTACGGATTCTTTGCTCAGCCCTAGAATTCACCACTCAAATCCTATGGCCTTTATTCTTTTTTACTTTACCAGACAATATACACGTAACTATAAGACTCGAACCTAAACGAACACTTACTAAGCGAACACTTCATCCACAAATCAAACCCTTTGATCTTTATCCTCTTTTAGTTTGCCTGACAATCCACACGCATAACCTTTTATGTCAATGTGCCCCTTGACATACACATTTAAATAAAAGGAGAATTGCTAATTAGTGACAATCAAAAATTTTATTTATAAAAAAAGTAAAAAAAAATATAATTATAATTATCAATATTTATAATATTTATCATTTTTTGTAAATAAATTTTCTAGAGTCATGCTACAGACTTCGAATATTGAGGTGCAAATTTGCCTCGAATTTGTTTAATCAATCGTCCGGTCAATCGTCCAACAAAGAGATTGACAACCACGGTTGCTAGGTGCAGATGGGAGAGACTGGGAGAGTCACGAGAGGGCATCAGAGCTGGTGGGAGAGTGGTGGTGGTGGTGATGGTGGTGGTGGTGGTTGGGGGGGGGATGGTGAGGGAGCGCATGGCAGTGGTGGCCGAGCACCGGTATTGCCGAGGGTAGAGGAAGAAGGGAATGAGGGGCAATTATATTAATTTAAGGAAAAAGAAAGGGGCGTTTGGTCAAAAAAATTCAAGCTTCCATGTCCATTGCAATTACTTTTTGTTCTCCCACTCATTTGCAGTTTTTTTTTTTTTTTTTGGGTCCAGTTGACACTCTGGGGTATCCTAAACGTCATAGATGGGCTATGGTCAAGTTGTGAACATGAACGAATCATCGTGTTCACGACCAACCAAGGATAGACTTGACCCTGCACTATTGCGCCCCGGTCGCATGGACATGCACATTAACATGTCATACTGCACCACTCATGGTTTCAAGATCGTAGCTTCCAACTATGTTGGCATTGAGTCACACCCTCTCTTTGGAGAGATTGAGAGCCTATTGGAGAATGTTGAGATCACTCCTGCGGAAGTTGCAGAGCAATTCATGAAGAGTGAAGATGTTGATGTTTGCCTTAAGAGGACTTATAAAACTCCTAGAGAAGAAGATCAAAAGCAGTGAAATCAAGGATGAAAATGAAGGAACAGTTGGAATTGAGGAAGTAAAAAGGCCAGAATTAGATGGAAAAAAATAGAAAGTTCGGAAAAAATTTTGGGCACAGAAAACAGGAGAGAAGAAGCCTATATTATTTGATATTCAATCGAGAATGCAAAATATGTATTTAAGATTTATATTCTTGCTACAAATTAAGTTGTGCAATTAAATAATATCCCTATGTGCATTTTTCCTATGGATGATCTTGTATATGAATGCTAATAATATTGTGGTTGATTAGGACAAAGTACAAGAATTGGATTAAGCCACGGCAAAAGGCGTTCATAAACCGGGCAGGCGGGCTTCTGGGTACATGGAAAAGTAAAAGTGGATGGAGGGTGCTTCTCAGATAGAGTTGGGGTGGGGTTGCTATAGTGCCTAGGGTGAGTCTTCCTACACAGCTTGATGCCCGGCTCTAGATGAAACTGCAGGGGTTACCACCACATCCTATCCTGATAGGCTCAAAGCTTTTCATAGTTAGGTGGGGTAGAAAATCTGTTCTCAAAAAGAGACAGATCAGAAATGAAAGAGGAAGGTACTTGGTTAGGCCGCAACAACCCTAAATTTCTAGGCGCTAGACCAGCTCAGGCTCTTGGGCTTTGGCTGATCAACAGACCAACTTGCACCGACCCATCCTATATTCCTAAAGCTCAAGCCCTACACAGTGCTTGTTCTTTATCGTTAACCAGAAGATGCTATAGAGCAACTGTAATAAGAAAAATCTACTGTGAACTTAACCAAAACAAATCCACTGCCTATACAGCAAAGCCTCCACAAACTATTTCAAGTTATTCAAGAATGACAACATACTCTCTTTTTTCTTTTATATACAAACCATTTCCAATTACATATTTTCAATACCAAATGTTAGGTCTGTACCCCCGATCTACCCTCCCAGACCCTCAATCCAATGATATATACTAGATTGGGCTTTTTTTTTTCTTCGAGCAACATGCACCCTATTCTTCATGAATGACGTAGAACATTAGCTTCGCTCAATCTTGAATTTTTCTACACTACACTACATCCCATGTCCTAACCAAAATTTGAATTATTATCACAGATACTTTCAAACTTTTCCAGAATTTTCAAGTAAAATATTACTCGAACCCTAAACATGTCAGTATAATGGGGTCATTCTAATGCAAGCCATGAGAAAACAAAATCTGAATCTAGAAGTATTGCACATCAAAGAACTACAATTTTTGCTTATGAGAAAGAAAGAGTATAACATGGCAACAAATGGTTGGATAAAGATAGCAAAAGACAACAAAATGTGTCCATTTCTACTTCAGTGAATTTAGAATGACCGCTAACAAACCCTTTCAGTCAAACTTTCCTGCATTATTGTGAGGCTTCCGCTCAATGCTTCGCATCTTCTTCTTCACAGTGTTTGGAGTACTGATCAGAGTCCATTAAGGATTTCAATTCATCACCGTTGCTTATCTCCACCTTCATAATCCATCCATTTTCGTATGGGCTTGCATTAACCTGAATCAATAAAATAATTATCGTTGACTAAATACAAACAAGAAGAAATTAAAAATCAGAATTAAAAGCAGCAACGAACCATCTTACTTGTTTGTTTCCCTCTCCTTTTCCCCCTTTTCTTTGCATCTATCTTCCCTCATTATTGGTTCCCTCCATTCCCTTCCCTTCCCTTATTTTTTTGTCCTCTCATGCTTGTTGCTTTTGTATGTAACAACTAACATGCTATGTGCAAAATGCCCAAATTTTTATAGGACTTACTGAAAATAAAAAATTAAACTGGCTACTAGCTATTAAACTAATACCTTATTTTTAAAAAATGGTCTTTGAGCTTATGTATGATACAATACTAAAAATTACATATATACATATGAATGCATCCTATCCTATTTTTTTAGATCTTATTACCGTATTGAATCATATCCATATTCATGCTTCACAGTTTTGTAGTAGTACAGCTTCTAGATAATTCATAACATGGAATATCTAGTTTCAATTCGAAATGAAATCCACTTTTTGGGGGAAAAAATCATATCATGTCATTGCCTCCTCGAAAAAATTCATTTAATCTAATTAGATTCATTAAATTTAACTTAACACAAAATCATATCATCTTGGAGAAAAATATTAACAAACACTATATGAAGCTCAAAAATTACAATAAATTAAGAAAATCTATCAAACAATATGACAAGCAACAATGTAACCTTGGATGACTCACCAGACCAGGGGAGTTATTGAGCTCCTCATTAACTTCAACCACTTTCCCTGAAACAGGAGAGTAAATATCACTAGTGGCCTTAACACTTTCAACTGCACCAAAACTGCCACCCTGGGTTACAGCAACCCCGACTTCCGGTAATTCAACATACACAACATCGCCCAAGTGATCCTGAGCATGGTCAGTTATGCCTACAGTTGCAGATTTACCCTCGACTTTCACCCATTCATGAGAGTCGGCATACTTAAAGTCCTTCACAACTGCAAACGATACAAAGAAAATGCTATGAGATAGACAATATGTTGATCAATCAGACTAGCAAGATCATACACATTACAAATACGAAGAGATAAAAACATTAGAAGTATACAAATAATATTGCTTCTATATACATGAATCTAGTGTGTGGTTTCAATTATTTGCTCCAAACATGACTCCTAGAAACATGAACTTTTAACCAATCCTCATGCTTGTGTCATCCACATTTTTTAGTCCTTTTGTTGCCATCCTAAGAGCCCTTAGCTCAAGACTTTACACCAACTGCTAGATAACTTCTTGGCACAAGGTCTAACAACTACATTACCCTAGGAATAGTCATAGGATTGAAGGATATCCCAAATCTGACCACAATATAAAAATGATATTTTTGGAATATATATGTAGCTATGTGTATGTGTATGTAGAGAGAAAAAGAGCGCAGAAAATATATTCCAGATTTCAACATTCGTCTTGTTCATCTCCTCAAATGTGTTAAAGGAGTTCACTGTAGTCCCTCGTGCAATGGATTTAAACTGTTCCTCTCGTTTCCTATATTCCAATGATGTTGGACTTTCCTTGATCTCCGTGTGCTCTCAAACAGACAAAAAGCACAACTTTTTAAGCACATTTTTCTGCATTAACTTACTTCTCTGTTTCTTTTGTGAGTTCAAGAACCTGTATAACATATATTACAATTCTATTTTTTAATTCTTTGGTAAAACAGATAAAATCATTTTCTTTTGGATAGATATGCTAATAAAATCACTTACTGCACAAAGAATTCTATCATATTACATTTTTATTCTATTTTTTATTCAAAAATCTGTAATCATTTTATCTCGTTCTTTTCTTTTCAAACCGTGAGTAGTCCTTGACACTAAGCATTCTCTTATTTTCTGAGCAAAGTTCTCCCAGCCGATGCAAGGGGCAGCTGGAACATAAGATCACGAGTTGGATGGTTCAATTTTTCTTCTTTTTTTTTTTGCACATAATTTTTTGGGGGGGGGGGGGGGGAATTTTTGTACTAAAATACCTACAAAAAAAAATTTAAAATGAAGGAAATTTTAAAAAGTCCACTAAAAAAAAGCAGCAGCCTAAAAATCTATTTTGTTAATTAAATCAGTTTTTGTCATCTTTAGTAACCCTTTTTTTTTCCCTTTCAATTTTTCATCATAAAAATTTGAAAAACAAATAGATGAGTAAAAAACAGTTTCCAAACAATAACAAATGTCTACCCGAGAAATTTTTTAGGAGCCATCACTGAAACCAATCCCAGATTTACAAGCATGTTCGATAAATGAATTAACATATTATCCAAAATCAAAACACCAATAAAGAAGTGATAAAGAATATCAAATACTCAAAGATCACCAGCCCTCTCAACCAAGAAGGCAAAGAGAGAGGTTTCAACAACAACCCATTAATCTCTTCATTGATCAAATGCCAAACCAATAACATATATAGACAAAACCCAATTCACAACACAAAAAACCCAGATCTTTGCTTGATCAGGCATTATAACAAACACATATATGAATGAGATTTATAAAAATGAAGAACAAATCAAGAAAACAAAGAAAGTGGTTAAAGTTGGGTTTCTTTTTTTTTTTTTACCAGAAGCAAATCCTCTGTTGAAGACTGAGATCCTGAGATGTGAAGCAACCCTTGAAGCCCACAATCTTGAAGCCATTGTTAACCAAGTTCACATCCACTTTTGCACCGCCACCCAGAGACCTATATACCTCTTTCTCTGCCAGTTTGGAAAATATATACACTCATTAAATCTTTTTAATGAAAATAAATAAATAAAAATTGTAGCGTAGTTTCCTATTGCCAGGTAAAGTAACTTATAGTTTGATGCATCAGTCCCATATCATACTGCAGGGTGTTGTTGAACCCGTAGCGCTCACTATAAATTCTATTTTGATAATTTAAATTGTTTAATATATAAAATTTGTCGAGTATTATATATTTATAAAAAATTATGTTGATCAGATATTGATAGTTACGTGATCAAATCAATTTTGTATAAAAAAAAATGAATGGTAAAAAAGAAACAATTGACAAAAAACTTATTCGATGAGATAACTATTGATATCCGACCAACGAGATAACTATTGATTTCCGACCAATGTGATTTTTTATAGATATATAATACTTGACGAATTCTACATATTGAACGGTTTGAATTATTAAAATAAAACTTGTAATGGATTCTTAAGAGCCCAACAATATCTTCTAATTTGATCTGAGAGTGGAGATAAGCAATTAGCTTTGTAATTTTCTCTTGCAAAAGCTAATATTGCTCTGGTAATAGCATCAATAATCATAGGAGTATTGTAATTAAAATAAAATATATAAAAATAAAAAATATATAGTGGGTGGGGCCATAGCAGAGGATCTAGACCCTTGGTGGAGTGCCGATTCAGCAGAGGTTGGTGTCAGATGCTACCATTCCCTACCATGTTTGGTAATTAGTTTTTTTTTATTATTAATTTTTTTCATCTTTAATAAAAAATAAAAATTCAAAGTTTTTGACACATTTTTTTAACAATTACTAAAGATAAAATATATATATATATATATATATCTGAACAAATAAAGAAAAGTAAAATCTAGTTGTAAAGTATTTTTCAACTAGTGAATATTGTCTTATTCACAAAAATTTGCACTATATTATTGAAAATTACTATTTACACATTATAAAACTTCTTAATTTATAATATTTTGCATTCAGATATTAATTATTGAACAAAATTCATGATTCATATATTAATTATCAAATGAAAATATATTTCCATAATTGATATCAAAAATAAAAATTTTGTATAAACTGAATATTTTTCAAAAGTAATCATGATTTTGGTGTAGGGTTTTTTTTATAAATATTCTAAAAAATTAAATTATTTATCAAAGTAAATCACTTTTCAAACTATTCATTAAACTAGCCTACTTTTTTAAAAACACATGTTCAAAATGCAAGTTAATCATGATCTGGAATGTTCAAGATGCAATTCATATTAACTTGACTTAATGATGTATAGATACGGGCCATGATAATATAAAATTGTATGTTCAAGATGTGATTTTACCATGAAATTGTATTTTGAAAATAATTTAAAAAATTAATTATTTATATAAATAATTTAATTTTTTAGAATATTCAAAAAAAAAAAAATCTCAGAGTCGCTCTCATGGAATATTCCCCCTTTCCAAACTCTATATATAGCAAGTGGTGGCACATGGTTGTTGGTGCATCTAAATGTCAAATTTCATCAACTATATAAATAAAAAATAAAATAAAATTTATGTATAAAATAATGTAATTATATTGAGATTTATTTTTTTTTAATAAAATATCTATTAAATTTTTTTAATTATTGTTACTTGTGTATCATTTTGATTTATATAATAATAATATGTTTTTCGTATTATATCTATATGTATAAGGGCATGTTTGTTTGGCTGACTCATTGAGAAGATTAGATTGCTAGTGAGACTATCTCACCTATGGCTTGTTTGGTAAGCCATATACTCTATTGGACTATTAATTCAATGAGATTGTCAATGATGTATGACAGTGGACTTAGCTTTTCCTGAGAAAGCATGGGATTAAAAAAATAGTGAGGGGATTGAAAAAATAAGTGTTTTTTTTTTTAATCCAAGTAGAGCCTATTATTTGTAAAAGAATATTAGATTTGTTTTAGAATTTTTTTTAACATAAAAATATATATATTTTTATTTTATATAAAAATAATTTAACAATCCGATCACTAACCATCTTTCCCACTATCATTAAAATAAATACACTTTTATTTAATCCCCTCATTAACAATCTCCACATTGAGGCCACATTTGTTTGATGGATTAGGTTGGATGAGATTCTTAGTGAGAGGATAGTTAGTGAAAAGATTATTAATATGGAGATTGTTAGTGAGGGATTAAGTAAAAGTGTGTTTATTTTTATAATAATATGGGAGATGGTTAGTAATGAAATTGTTAAATTATTTTTATATAAAATAAATAAATAAATTATTTTTATATTACAAAAATTAAAACAATTATAAAACAAATAGGTGCACTTGGTAAAAAAAATAATTTTTTTATATAAAATAGACTCAACCCCCTTACTATTTTTCTAATCCCAGCCAAAATTCAAGCAAGTTAATCCCCCTACTCAAGAGGATTGCTAAGTCACTTGGACTATCAATCCGCCCTCCTATTTCACTACCAAACATGCTTGGGTCAGCTCTGGTAATCCAATCCGGCCACTCAAGTGTCGAAACAAACATGGCCTAATAATCTCTTTGCTAATCATTCCCTTACTAATAATCTCACCAAACTTAATGAGTCAAATAAACATGCCCAAGTGTTTATCAAGCTGCCCTATGCTTTTCATTACATCTCTCATTTTAGTTTTTGATTAATAATTTTATTTGTCTTTCAACAAATAACAGATATTATCAGATTGATTTATTTTTATTTTATATTTTTTGGGGGGGGGGGGGGGGGCACTAATAGACAATAAATATGGCGTTTATATTATGTACATACAAGTAACAGGTAAAATCTATCTTATAACAAATATGGTGGTTCTAGACGTGTTTATGACATTATTATTGATTTCATTCATTACACAAATTATAAATATTAAAAAAAATTTAAATTATGTCACATCATCAATTAGTACACTAGTTAGTGCACTAATTGGTACACATTGTTTAGCAAGTTGGTTTGTGGCTAAAATAACCTATTTTAACCACAAAATAGCCACAAAAGGCAAAATAGACTATTTTAACCACAACAAACAAAACATCACATTCAACCCATAATTATTACACTCTTTTCTCACAAAAAAGTTAAAAAATTAAAAAGTTCTTCCCAAACTAAGTTTTTTAACTCAGGCTAAAATAATAAAAAAAAGTCAAAAATTCAAAAAGTTAATCCACTTTCCCAACGGAGGGGCATTATTCTAACAAATATCATTTTACTTTTGAAAAACAATAAATGTTATCATTCATGGTTAAAGGGAAAATAATTTTAAATAAAATAGTTGTTACAAGGTGAGGTTTGAATATTTATTTTATAAAAAAAAACTGTAAATTAGTTTTTATTTATTTCTAGAAAAATAAAAACTGAAAATATCACCCGTGCTATGCACGGATTGTGTTTACAATTATCTATATATGTGAATTGTGATTTTTAAATGTCTTTTTTTTTTTTAAATGCCTTCTTTTTTTTCCTTTTTTATATTATATTAAAGTTTAATATTTTGATAATAATCATATATGTTATTTTGATAATAACCATATATATTAGAATTTTCAAGAAATTAAATGTCTTTTATTTATTTATTATATTATATTAAAATTTAATATTTTGATAATAATTATATGGGTTGTGCTTTTTAAGAATTTTTTTTTATACTTGTTCTTAATGCATTAAAGTGTTATTATGAGGAATAATAATCATATGTGTTAGAACTTTTCAAATAATTCATGTGTGTTGGATTTTAAAGAATTTTTTTATACTTGTTCTTAATGCATTAAAGTGTTATTATGAGGGTAAGATTTGAAGGTTGTGAGAAGTTAATAAATACTAAGATTTTTTTTTTAAATCAAAAAATTAAAAAATTTAGATTGAAAAATTAAAACTTCTACAAAGTTTGAAGTTAAAAATTCCTTTTTACTCTATAGTATAGATGTTTAAAAATTTTAAAAATAAAAACAAAAAATGCTTTGAACATCTGACAGAAGGTTCTCCGCAATGTTTCCGCATTGCTTTCACGTTCTTTTTGCATTTTTCGTCAATTTTTAAACTTTTGTACGTTAAAAACAATAAAAACCAAAAATGTTTCCGTGGATACTGCTCCTGTGGTTCGCGTTCCTTCTGCATTTTTCTTCACTGTTTAAACTTTTGTAAACATGTTTTTTCAGTTTATAATTTTTAACTTAGGGCTGGTTTGGCATACATTATAAAAGTTAAAAAGTTAAAAAGTTGACACTATTTATAAAAAAAAAATATTAAAAAAAAAATATCCACATAATAATAATACAAATAAAAAAAAATACAATTAACAATGTATGACGTGATGGGCCCGTCAGTGACGAAAAAAAAAAATAGGGAGTAAAATATTCATTAAATTGGATGGTAGAGCTGGGCCCATGGAGGCCCACCATGGGTCTCGTGAACAAAAAAAACTAACACGATCACATAGCTATCGATATCTAATCAACGTGATTTTTTACAAGCATATAGTACTCGACGAGTTCTACACATTGAACGGTTTCGATTAGTAAAACGAGACTCGTCCCATGGACAAAATAGAACCGACCAATTTATGCCCGAAAAGTAGAGAATCAATCTCCTACACACCCTCTTCGGCGCTGCTTCCAACCGTACCGCTTACACTATTACTTTATTCCCTCATACACTTATTTATACAATTTTTTAATACACATTTTTTCATAAAAAGTCAAAAAGTTAATCCAAGCATTCATATTTTTTCCTCAACTATTTAGTTTAAAAAGACAAAAAGTACACTTATTTAAGACACCCCAAACAACTCCGTAAATTTTAATATGAGAGACTTGTTTATAAATTCAAAAACTTACCAAACAAATTTATATGATACTTTTTAAAAATTTTGTAAATATAAATAGAAAACTAAAAACAGAATAGTTATCAAACAAGCCTTTAATGTCATTACGAGATTGAAAGAGAGAAAAAAATATTGTAATAATCATTTTTTTTTTTTGAGTCTTGTAAAAGAAAAGGCTATGTTTTATTTTTTAATAATTTGAATTATTCTAATTGTAAAAAAAGAAGAAGCTATTTTTATTTTTTTTTCCTTTTAATATTAATATTATGATGATTAATATTTAATACTATGCTTATAAGTTGGTCAAGTCTCACCAACCCAACCAAACTATGGGAATCAGAACCTTTGCACATGGCCACTTGAAAGTGAATTTCAAGTTTTCAACTAATATTTTTCATTCCCAACTAACATGTTTCTTTGAAATTCAAATTAAAAATTTAGTACTTAAATATTTCAATATTTTTTTTATACTTTAATTATCAATAACAAATCCCAAGTATAGGCATCCATGTAATACAAACACAAATACATGAGTCCATCTAAAAAGGACAGCCTAGTGCACGAGGAACTCAAAATTTGGACCTTACAATTTTGCTAAAGCTTATACGGAAGGAAGATAGAATGCTACATCAATTGAACTTAAGATATTCTGGACCTTATAATTTGAGAAAAAGAAGTACATGATTTGCTTGAATTTTGGGTTGTAGTAGAGTTGGTTGAAATTTGTAGCTGCAGCATTCGAATACTTGAGAAGGTGGCGTGTCACATACATTCATCAAGTTGGCAATGATGTCTTCATTTCCTTGTGCATTGTTCTAATTACAGTAGTAATTTGTTCAATCTGATCTTCGCTAGAACACGCTGAGAGGAGTACTTTAGCAGTTCCTCCATCCGGGTAACAACCGTCATCAATCATTTCTTCAAATATTTCCAAACATCTTTGGTATTGTTTCTTCCTCGAGTAAGCTCCAATCCGCGATGTCCAAGTCACCACATCCGGTTTCAAGTTCTTAGCACGAATCAATTCAAACAACTCTTCCATTTTGTCAAAAAAACCAGCCCTTCCATATATATTGATCAAAATGTTGTACGTGCTAATATCGGCTACAAATGGTCCCTTTTCCATAGCCTTTAGAACCTGTTCCATCTTCTCTAGTTGGCCTACCCGGCCATAGAGGTTCAACATACTATTGATGACAAATGTGTCTGGTTTGAGCCCGGATTTGTGAATTTGGCCCACAATTTCTTCACATTTTGCCACATTACCAATTTTTGAGTAGGCCGACAAAAGTAGCATGTGTGATTTCATAGTTGGGGTTATCTCAAGCCGCTTCATCTCTTCAAACACTGCTTGCGCATCTAGCCACAAACAGAAAGGAGTCAAAACATAGAAAAACAGATTGATATAGGAAATGAGAAATTGAACAAGCATATATCGGATAAATGAAATGGACTCTTCTCCAACAACATATTGAATGGTATAGATGGGATGAATTAGCTTCAAAGAATTCCAACCGTTTGAAATTATTTATTTATGGATTTGCATAATGCTATTTTATTGGAATTAGCAAGGGAAATAGAGACGACACCGTAAATTATAGAGAAATTCGAGCCAAGTCCAACAAATGCTATTGATAATTTGTAAATGGGATCATATAATTGCAATAAAGTCGACTTATCTTGGAAGTACTAATCAAACTCCACAATAAATAAATAAATAAAATAGTTGATCAATCAGAAAGATACCATGTTTCTCCCAAGTCTTTTGAGTGGTCTACTTTTCTTCGATTGTTACTCAATTATACTACTGTAAATTTTTTTTGAGCAAATTTACAATTCTGAAAGTTCATCTAGCAACAAGCAAATCATCTCATGAGAAATTCGTGAAATTTTTTAGGTCATGAAAAGTTGTGAGAACTAACATTATAGTAGTTGAAAGGCCTTGTGATTTTAGTCTGGTTATCCTCTCTCTCTCTCTCTCTCTCTCGCTTTCTGACTAAATTATGAATGGAAAGGAGGGTTAGATAAGACCCTCAACTTAGTTTTTCCAGGTTAAAATATAAATTTTCTAAGGCAAGGAAATTTCAAAAAAGCGAGCCAAAAGTCGGCATTATAGACCATCACTGTCAAGGGCAAGCATTTACCATCATACAGACCGGCTCTACCATATGCATCCATCATAATGTTATATGAAGCTCTATCTGGTTCACATCCCATGTGTTGCATGAGTGAAAATATTTCTGCAGCCCCATAAGGAAAACCTGCACGACTATCAAGATAAGGAAGTCAAAAAACTACAGGTGAGTTTGAACTGAATTTTAAGAAAGTTTTAACTTTGACTGGTGCCAGATTGTTTCCAATTGTCAATTAGGAAAGAGAATGTGAAAAACTAATTGTTTTGAGTAAGTTTAAAACTCCTCTCTCCTACCCACTAAATTGGCCCTCCATTTCAGCTTTCTTTGGCATATAAATATTGGGTTTTGCTTTGTAGCACACTCAATCATCTATTGTCATTATCGTTCAGCACCACGTCATAAGTTAAGTGTGTGCTACGCTTGCTGGTTCAACATTCAGTTCTGTACATCGGTCCGACATGACCCCTTTAAATTGTCTCGTCATTGATTCTGATTAGTCTCTACACAGTCCGACATGACCTCTTAAACTGTCCTGACATTTATTCCAGTTAGTTCCTACAACAGTCCGGCATGACCCCGTAAATTGTCCTAACATTGATTCCGGTCAGTTCCTACAACGGTCCAGCATGACCTTAAACTGTCCCGGCTTTAGCACCGGACCTCAATTCATTTTTTCGTGTATTTCTGTTCCATTTTGTCTTTCCCTCTATCTCAATCTCAAATTCTATCTTCAAACTTATTTGAGTTCGAGAAGGGTATTATACCTATATCATGGTAAGCGTGGTGATATACCATGTGAACCAGCTAAGTCGTCCCCTCTGGCGCATAACCCAAGCCGCCCCCTCTGATGCACCATCCAAGCTGCTCCTTGGCGCACCACCAAAACTGCCCCTTGGCGCACCATCCAAGCTGCCTCCTGGCACATTCAGTCATCTGTTGTCATTATCGTTCAACACCAAGTCATAAGATATGTGTGTACCACACTTGTTGGTTCAACATCTACTTTTGTACATAGGTCCAGCATGACCTCTTTAAACTGTCTCAACATTGATTTCGGTTAGTCTCTACAACGGTCTGACATGACCCCTTAAACTGTCATGACATTGATTCTGGTTAGTTCCTGCGATGTTCTGACATGATCCCGTAAACTGTCCCGACATTAATTTCGGTCAGTTCCTATAACGGTCCAGCATGACCTTAAACTGTCTCAACATTAGTTCCGACCAATTTTTACAAAGGTCCGGCACGACCATAAACTATCTCCCAGCATTAGCTCCAGCCTCTGATGCCAACCAGGGTATTTCCTGGCCATAGATGCTTCGGCAGCTCTTTTAGGGCAACTCAGTTCCTTCTTCTTCTTCTTTTATTCCGTTTCCAGGATGTGGTGCTGATGAATTAAGTACTTTTTGGCCTTTTTTATTTAGTGGACTACCAGATTTGTTCGATAGCATTTATTTGGACTAATCGTTGAGTTTTTTCTGGCTTCTTCCAATCATCCATTGGCAAGATACGATTGTTGAATATCTTCACATCAACTTGAGGGGGAGTGTTGAATATAGAAATTAGAGTACACAGAATCTTTTTATTTTTAGTATTATGTATATAATTTGTGATTGTATCAATCACTTAGTATTGTTTCCTTATTTATATTGTTTCCTAAATTGTATCATGAATCTATTATATATACATGGCCTGTACGTCATTCATGGGTAAGCCAAATATTTATTTTCATTCTTTTTTATTTAGATTTGATTTAAATAATATTGTGTGTGTTCTAAGGCTGTGGACTCTCGAGTGTTTCTCTCTCTTTCCCCTAAGTAAAGTGTTCTACATCATGGTTTCTATTTGTCTTATCAAAACTTTGCCTATATTGTTTACACATGCTTTTCCCAGTAATTAAAAATATATATATTATTACCGTTCAGTTTAATGCACAATACAATGACTTGCATATAATGGGAGATCTTAAATGCCCCTAAAAACTGATTTGAATAATCACCTGTATGCTTCCATAAGAGCATTATAAGCATAGACATCAGGCTCATACCCAGCTTCCTGTAGCTGCTCAAATGTTTCTTCTGCTTTTTCACAAAGTCCATCCCTAGCAAATGCATTTACCAAAGCAGTATATGTGCAAATATTAGGTTTACATTTCTGACTTCTCATTTCATTAAACAGCTTCAAGGCCATATAGGACTTTTTTGCCTGCATAGTAAAGCAGGAATATGAGGACCTTCCTTTATGAGAAAGAAACAAACTACAAAAATGAAATCAAGAGCAACATCAAAAGTAATATGAGTAAGAATTTTTCATGAAAATGGAAAATCTTTCCAATAATAGGTTTCAATATAATTAGGCATTGCTTTGAATTGAAACCCTTTTAAGGTAGGGACAATGTGTGATGTGCCCGTAATTAATGAAAAAATAGCAAAAGTTTGTTATGATGCCTTAGACCTTACACTTCTCATGTATTTTTTTGTTTTTATTGGACAATAATATTTCTGACCTCCTCTAAAGATTAAATTTTATAGACATAAATTAAAAGACATTGGCATCAAATTTTGAAATCAAATACAATATAGATCACCTTTCCATATAGGTTAATTAGCATGGTATAAGTGTCAGTTGTTGGTTGGCAATGATCTCTTTTCATCCTTTCAAAGATCTCTTCAACTTTTCGCGAGTTTCTTCCCTTTATTAACCCATCAATGTAAGCATTGTATACAACTATACCTGCATAAAATTAAGCATATATTAACATGAATTCTTAATTAGAGGATCCATGTGTCTAACTTGGGTATGGGGGTTGGACACAGTTCCCGTCATGTGTGACCATAAAATATGAGACATACTTGGGGGGTGGCCATTTTTTCTCATCTCAGCGAAAACAGCCTCAGCTTTCTCTAGCAGGCCAGAAACGCAGTAGGCCTTTACAAGAAGAGCATATGTGTCTTCAGTAGGAATACATCGACCTTCAAGAAGGTCCAAATAAGTTGATTCTGCCTTGTCATGCTGTGACTTCTGTCCATAAGCATCAATCAGCAAGTTATAGCAGATAACATCAGGATGGAAGGAGCTCCTGTACAATATCCATTCACAAACCTGTACAGAAACTTATTATGTTACACACAACAAAATTAATAATCAATTTTAATTTTAGAAGATACTCAGACCACCATACAATTCTGGCATCTTTATCTTTTGCACAATTTGACATTTTCCAACGCAGACATTTGGCATTGAAATTAGATCGTAATGGCTAATATTGCCATTGGTTGCATAGCATTCCCGAATGACATAATATTGGAGGTGATCAACCCAAACTCTGTTAGGTTGTTTTTTGATTGATGGAATTAATGTGACTTGGTTCAGATTTGACTGTTTACTGCTTGCAGATCGGTTTTGGATTTCAGCAAGCTCCACTGGTGGATTTTTTTTTTTTTTTCTTTTTTTTTGTGTTTAGGTGGTGGGTGCATTTGAGATTAAGGGATTTTGGGGTTCTAAACTTGTAATTTATAGGAGGTTTAACTATTGAAATTCAATAATGAGGTGATAAAGTAAGGACTGTATTTTATTGGGATCTTTGTGCAACTAGAATTCTAATTGGCATGAGTTTCAATTCCAGAAAAACAAAAAAAGTTGTTTAATAGAAACGATTCAACTGCATAACTAGTTTCATGGGAACTATGTCATTTAAAGATTAATGAATGTGAGTACAATAGCATATGTGAATTTTTATATCTCTATGAGCGGACACAATCCACCAAAAGAAAAACTAAAGAGTACAAGATTCTAACCAGTATGATTGGATCCCATCGTTTATTTAGACGAAGTTGGACTGCAACAGTGATGATATCGTCCCATGTGGTGTTAGTGGGAGGAAGAGTATCAAGAGAGCTCCATATCCTATTTACATCTACTTCCTTCTGTACAAAGTTTAAAATCTGCTGAGCAATGGGGCTCAGCACAGGGAAAATTCCATCTACAAATCCAGATCCATATTTCCATCCTTTTCCCCTTAAAGAACCACCTACACAAAGACGTCAATTTAAACATTTATGGAAAATGTGCTTTGGTGTATCCATGAAAATCACATGATGTTAAACATCATATTACCCCTTTCTCTTGAAACTTTTTTGTGATTAAATCTTCTTAATTTGCCACGTTTGTCGATGAAAAGGCTGTCACGTTTGCGCTTCTCAATATATTCATCATTGGATTTCTTCGTTCTCTCGATGAAATCATGCTTGCAACTTCTTGGTTCTAAAAATATATAATTCAATGCACACTTGACAATCAACCTTAAAAGCCAGAGAAATTAACATGTCATTAGTCACTCACTGCTGCATATAATCTCCCAATCTTTCACTCTTCTAACCCTATCTGGCAAACTATAAAAAAAAAGCTACTTTTTTGGCTAAATAAGCCTCAAAAAAAAAAATGTTTGTTTTTTGATAAAAAAGCTAAGGACCCACTCAACTTTTCAACAAACCAAAAAAATAATTTTTTTAGCAATTACCAAACAAATTAACTTTTTTAGATTCTAAAAATGTAAAATTGCAAAAAAGCAATTTCCAACTTCATTTTCCAATACTAGAGGCATCTGGTGTAAAGGAAGCAACAACTATAGCGCATTACAAAAAATGCTGAAGACCACAGCCTCTGAAGAGGGCACAAGAATACAAGTACTTTAGAAGGGTTACTAAAAGAGTTTTTTTGGATCATAAAAACAAAAACATGGTCTGCTTAAAGAATAAAACATAAATAGTCAAAAAGAACTCAAATTTTTAATTAAAACTCGACCTATCAAACTTGAGGGCTAAGTTTGTATCTAATCTACCCCACCCAGTCCTTCATTTAATGGGGACTAAACTGGGTGTTCCTTAAAAATAATAATAATAATAATAATAATAAATAAAAAATAAAACAACTTGCAATGAAAAGCAAACACTACCAAGAGAAATGCAGATAAGATAAGATGTCTAGTGGTGATATAAATGAAAATACTTTTCAATCGTCTGATAGTTGTTGAAAACCCATATCTGAAAGACAAATGGAAAGGCAAAAAAAAACCCAATTAAACAGTGCAAAGACATATCAAACTTACATATATATGTGTTCTTGAGTAGTCAAGAAGATATATTGTGCATATGAGGAAGAGGGATATCCTATGTGTGTTGTAGGGTGTAGTTCTAAATTATCTTTCAACTTTTTTTTTCATTTTTTTATTTTTAAATTGGATCTTAGCCGCATACAGATAAGGGAACTCTCTCTCTCTCTCCCTACATTATATCTTTGCTTCAATGCTAACGGTAATAACGGCCAGAACTAATTGCGTGCAGTAAGAAAAATTCAGTTGACCATTTCAGTGGTTAGGGTTTAGTTGAATGAGATTTTAGTGGCTTTTTGTTTTTTCAATTAATGTACTTGATAAGATTTTTAAAAAATTGTTTTTTTTAAATGAAAAAAAAAATTAGTATGACATTTAACTGTTTTTAATTAAATTTCTTTATAACATTTTAACTTTTTAATTTTTTTTTTTTTAACTTTGCCAAACATCCTACATAAACAGGAAAAAAAAATATCTAGAAAAATATTCAAAAAAATATTTTTAGGGCCATAATTATTTTGGATGTAACACACATCTCACCAATTTTACATTTATAATATATAATTTATTTGTTGAATAAATTTCTAAACAAAAATTCAGGATAAATTATATTTTTATGGATCTAATTGAGAAGGTTTTACCCACCATAAAGCTAGCACGGTAAGTGATTTATGTTGGAAAAATGGTTTGGAAATCATTAATAGGTGAATGAGAAATTGATTCTAGAGTGCACCATTTAAGTGTGGTTTTAAGACGAAATTTATCTAATTTACAATTTGATTTTATTTAGATAAATTCGTTAATTTTTTGAGTCAAAATTAAACAGGATTCGATTCAGAATTCGAATATGTTTGAAAGAACAGTTATACCTGTTCTTTACACCTTGTGTCTCTTTATAGAAAAGAGATGTGTCTCTTTATAGACAAATATACAACCATCATAGATTTAAATGACCTACTCTTAGCTCAGGTTCATGGAAGAGGGTTGCAAAGTGTAATTTGCCCTAAATAGCAGATTGGAATGTACATTTGTATGTATGAATACATTACCGCTATGTTTGGTTGAGGAATTTGGAGAAGGATTTGGAAAGAAAAATGAAAAAAGATGGTAAAATGTGAATAAAATATCCTTGCATCTCACCTAGTTTCATACAAATTTTCCCATTCCTTTTCCAAATCCCTTGCCAATTCCCCAACCAAACACAGCATACAGCAATTCATGTATATATATATATATATATGTGTGTGTGTGTGTGTATGTACCTGCGAAATTGAATTGGGAGATGAAAAGGGCGATGAGTTTGGGCGAGGAGGGAGTGTCCTCTTACTCTCGATGCTTTGATAGTCCCCAAAGCTCTTACATTTATGGAAGCCCTGTTTTCAAAAACCAAAACCCAATTCCAATTTTCTTCTCTTTTGTGGCGCTGTGCAGAACCCAATTGAACTCAAGACATATACATACATACATACATACATACATAGAGAGAGAGCGAGAGAGAGTACCTTAACAGGAAGGAGTTTAAAGCAGCCATTGATGCGAACGGAGAGAGAGAGAGAGAATACTTCAATTCACCGCGATTCCCGTTTTCGTGTATCTGATTCTCATACAAGAGAAAGAAAAGAGATGAATATTTTATTTAATTTTTAAAATTTGTTTTTCATCCTACTTTATTGTTTTGGTAAAGAAAAATGATTGATAAATGTACACCGAAATATGATAATTCACACATTATCAAAAAAAGTCAGACGATCTATCGGACCACTGATCGAATGATTGGTGTCACCTTTATTAATTGTAGTTCTCATATTTGTTAATTGTGATTGTTTTTGTTAATTGATGTGTCAATCGGATGACTGACATCCTTTAAAATAATCAGGAAACATTTGATATGTCTAACGATTTAGATGAGCCCAAGCCGATGAATGTAGTATTATTTGTTTGATAAATTATAGGGTAAAAACTGATATGCTTTTTTTTAATGGACTTTTTAAAATTCGAAATATGTAAAAATTGTCTAGTAGTATATGTTTGTAAAAAATTATGTTGATCAGATATTGATAGTTATGTGATTAAATCAATTTTATATAAAAAAAATGAACGGTAAAAAAGAAACACTTGACAAAAAACTTATCCGATGAGATAGCTATTGATATCCGATCAATGTAATTTTCTACAGGCATATAATACTTGATGAATTCTACATATAAAACGGTTTGAATTATCAAAATAAAACTTGTAATGGATTCTTAAGAGCCCAACAATATCTTCCAATTTGCTCTGGGAATGGAGATAAGCAATTAGCTTTGTAATTTTCTCTTGCAAAAGCTAATATTGCTCTGGTAATAGCATCAATAAACATAGGAGTATTGTAATTAAAATAAAATATATAAAAATAAAAAATAAAAAGTGGGTGGGGTCAATGTGTCAATAAATCCATTTGCTCGAGGAGTCCGGATCTTCTGCCGTGGTCTCCTGCGGTGTCCCAAAACGACGTTGTTTTGGGGCAAGTTTTCAAAAAAAAAAAAAAAAAGGGAGAGAGAGAAGGCAAGAATCAGAACCAAAACGATCTGTATGATTTCTTGAATATTTTTTTCTGTTCCGAATCATATTTTTTGTTTGATCTGTACATACAAAAAATAAGATCTGAGACCATTTGATCCAAATCGTACAAATAGCATCGCCTTGAAGAGATCGGAACAAAAAAATCAAGTGGGTTTTTTTTGGAACATACAAATCATTCATGAAGTTTTTTTTTTTTTTTTTTTTGGGTATTGTACGGGAAAGAAATATACTTTCTCGTATAATCCTGTTGACCAAGTCTGCACTCCTCCGTACGACGTCGCCTTATCACCTGAAAACACAAACGTGAGCTAGCCGGCGGGTGTGTGCCGGAAACCTCTCCGATGCCTAAATCAGCAAACTTGACAAATAGACAAAACTCTGTGAATTCAAAAAGCAAAGTTGTGTGTTACCTTACCCAAGGTGATGTTTGTGAGCTTTTATAGGTTTCGCATGGCATAATCCTAGTAGGACTTCTACTCCTCGTAGAGTCCTCCTAGGATTCATACTCCTGTAGGATAATGCTTATCCTTTAATACCCCCTCCTTAAACCAAGTGGGATGGTTTTTACTATGGCCGAACTACCATACGACCGGAATAACACTACCATACTATACAGGCAGGTATGGCCGATCTGATTACTAGTTCGGCTCTTCCCTTCCTTGCTTCTATCCCGGCTGCGAATGCTAAGACCGAGCTATCCATAGAAGTGTCAAGCCGAACTAACTCAAACTTCCCTGAAGAGGGTTCTCTCACTCTGGTTAGAGGAGATGACCGGGCTAATCCGTAATATGCCGCAACCGAGCTGCCCCTAAGCCTATTTGACAACCGAACTAACCGTAGTACTCCTTTTGACTGGTGTATCCACTGTCTTTCGTATTTGGACCAATCTCAGCCCAACACCCAGTTCGGCCCAATTTATATACATAAATTACCCTCTCAATTGCTCCTTAATTCCATCTGCATAGCACGATAGAGATTATCTGTTCATCAGCCGAGCTATAGTCCCCAAACCTTCCAGTCGAGCTACAACCATTTAGCTTATCCTGCTGAGCTAAACTTAAACCGAGCCGCTCTCATCCGGTCACAATGTCTTTTCAATCACCAAAAACTGAATCGCTTCCTTTTCCGTATACACGTGGCACGTTCCCATTCGCGGAAGGCAGCTGTCAACGCCGTCTTCGTATTTCGCAATTTTTGAACAGTTCCCGCCCTTTCTCTCTCTTTCCACAAAACAAACATTCTGTCTTTGAATCATTCACCTATACTATTCACCTTCTTCTCTCTCCGTGCCTCTGCTTCTCCAACCTCTGAATTCCCTGAGTTCGTGTTCTTCGTTGGTGCTGTTGCTCCCATCACCAGCTTCATCTTCTTCTTCTGGTAAGCTTCAAAAAATCTGTTTTGTTTTTCTTCTTTCTGCTTTCGTTTAATCCATTGTAGTTTGTTTGGTGTTTGTTTTTGAAAAACATATTTTGCTTTGCCCTGTACTTTTCTGGAAAAAACTTAACCATAGAATCCTTGAATACATTCAATATCCTGTAGAACACTGGTTTTCGATCTAAAATCATCATTTAACCGAACTAGGACGCTGTTCGTGCTAGGTGTAAGTCTTATCAAGACATAACCGAACTAGAAAAAATGCACCGAGATAATAAGTCTCCATCTTCTGATTGACTTTAGCCGAGATAAAATACACCGAACTAAGTCTGAAATTAGTATAACGGAAATCTTAGCCTTCGACCGAGCTCAGCCTTCAGGGCTAAGCCAGCTTTCTTAGTTTCTTAAACCGAACTCAGAAAGCTGCCCCTAGAGGCTCAACCGAACCAACCAAACCCATAGTCTGAACCGAGATAGAAACTGTAGCATCCCACATAGCCGAAGTAGGACTTTATCTTTCTTTTATTTGTAGCACGGTCCGATGATCTGTGCTTAACTCCTATGTTTTCCACTTTGCAGACTTAGGTTGCCCAAGCACTCCTCTGCGCGCTCAACCGAGCTACTGAGCACATTCTTCCGACCGAACTAACTTATTAATAACTTATACAATAGATGGGGAAGTATAGGTATCTAGTAAATATTCCGGGCGTCCTAGCCGAATTCAGAAAAGACTACAATATACCTGATGACATCCATCTGATTTGGGACGAAAAAGACGTCATTCCCTAGGGTAATGAAGGCTTTGTCCCCTTCACCCTCTTGTCCATAATAGAAACCGGACTACGATTTCCAGTCCAACTTTTAATTTGTGAGTTTCTTAGGCAAACCAGATTATGCCCAACCCAACTATCCACCAATTCCTACCGCATCATAATGGGAATAGCTGAACTGAACCGCCAAGCCGGACTAAACCTTGGCCTGGCCAAAATCTTCCACCAATACTGCATTGGTTCAAAAGAAGATGGGTGGGTCTATTATTTAAGAATACATCATCGCCGAGAGAAGATTATAAAACATACACCGGATAAAGACTTGAACGACGACGACTTTTTCTGGGTATCTGGAAATTTTGAGGATCATCAAGCCCAAATTCCTGGCCGACGTATAAACTGGAAAAAAGGAGAACCCGGTATACTTACTTCAGTTTTCTTGCTTGCTCTATTATATTTCGGTTTTTCAATCTTTCAGCCGAACTAACAGTCGTCTTCTTTCGCAGATTCTGCCCATCTCCATTCATTATACAGCTATCCAAACCTAGCTACTTTGCGCGCCGCACTACGGTATCCAGAACGTAGTTGGGCCAAATTGCTAAAGTTCGAGCCGACCTACAGATACAGTGGTCGCCGAAAAGCCAGAGTGACTGGTTTTCTTCTTGAAGACGCACCAGAGCCGGACCCAACCTTACCACAAATCAGACTAATTCCACTAACTGCCGAAGAAGAAATGGCTAAAAGAAACAGGGTCGGGCCCTCTTGACCGAGACCAACAGGGCCGAAGTACCACCATCAAGTCAAACCCAAGAAGCGGTGGTGGCCCTTCACACGCAACAACCATTCTCATCCCACCGAACCAAGCGCGCCCGGACTACCGAAACTGAACAACACTTGGTTGATGAAGACGAAACTGCTCTTCCAACGAGCCCGCCACCGAGCCCCCAACCGGAGCCTTCTGACCGAACTACCACTAGCTAGGTACCAAAACTTACCTTCAACAACCGAGATATCCAAGACTCTAACTCGGTTGTTGCTGAAAAGGATCACCAGTTGGCCTTCAACCTGGCCAAGAGTGTGTGCCTTCCCAAAGATATGGAGCACCACCAAAAGCAATTGAACACCGAACTGAAGGCCATCCGGTCTTCAACAAAATCCATGATCTTAGTAAGTAGCTCTGTCCGTTTTTCTGTCTAATTTTTCCAACTTTCATTTCAGCTCAAGGGAAGTCTTTGTTTTGTCAGGCCATTCAGAAAAACAACATCACTCACAGGAAGGTGGTAGAGCTCAGGAAAACAACAAGGCAAGCCGTGGCAGAAGCCGAAGCGAAGACGACCGAGCTAGAGGAGGCCAGAAAGCAAATAGCCGAGCTACGAGCTGAGAATGGCCAACTGGCCGGATTGGTTAGTTCGGCCGAGGCAGAAAAGCAGAAGGCTGCCATTGTGCTAAAGGACAAGTATCTGTGTGAGCTGGTGAAGCTCGAAAGGAAGAAAGATACCGAGATAACCCAGTTGAAGGAGAGCGCAAAAAGAGCCGAAAAGCAAGGCTTCAAGAAGGCAGAGGATGCTTACATCCAGCAGTGCGAAGCCGCCAAGGAACTATTCTTTAAGTGCGGCTGGAGGGCAGCTGTTGAGAAGCTTGGTCACGATCCACAGACCGAGGTCTTCAACCCTCCAGTCTACTTCATACCGAACTCCCTAGTGGAGTATGCCGATGCCATTCAGCAGAAATTTCTTGAGGGCTCAGACTCTGACGAAGACTCTGCCTCTGAGGATACTCCGGTTGTCAATGCGGACCCGTCAGTTCGGCTGGAGCCCACAATGGAAGACCTGACTATTGAACAACCAGGTGAAACCGTGGTTCCGACCGAAATCATCCTTACCGAGAACGAGCTCCCGCTTGAAATCGGTCTTCATGTTGATGCCGATGCTGCGTTTGATGCTGAAATTGATGATCTTTTATCTTGATTTTGTACATTTTCTTTTTTTGCTACCTTTTTTACTCTTGCAACCGGGCTACGGCCCCTCCTTTGTATTTGCTTTCTGATGAATGAAAATTTT